CGTGTGTGTGTGTGTGCGTGTGTGCGTGTGCGTGTGTGTGCGTGCGTGTGTGTGCGTGCGTGCGTGTGTGTGCGTGTGTGTGTGTGTGTGTGCGTGTGTGTGTGTGTGTGTGTGTGTGTGTGTGTGTGTGTGTGTGTGTGTGTGTGTGTGTGTGTGTGTGTGTGTGTGTGTGTGTGTGTGTGTGTGTGTGTGTGTGTGTGTGTGTGTGTGTGTCGTACCTTAATTCTTTCTTTAGAGCGCAGCTCTTCAGCGCCCGTTTCCGGGTTTCGCGGCTTGGGCGTCGCCGTCGGCGTAACCGGCCCGCGAAATTTAGCGCGAAATTGACGTCACATGGCCTCAACACCAATTCAATGCCCAGCTACGTGACTTCAACGCCAATTCACTTCTCCGCTAGATTGTCATGTGATGTCCTTCTCCCTGCTAAATTTAGCGGAGAAACTAAATGGGAGGTGGAGGGGAGGAGGAGGGGCATACCCTTTTCTCCCTGCCCTCCCTTATTCCTCTTCAAGAGTTGAGGTCTAATTTCGCATTACAAAGATTTGTAAACGTCTTTAATTTTTTTTTATTTCCCTTTCTTCGGCTTTTTTTTTCTTTTTATCCCCATTTCCCCTCATCTCTCAGACATTACCGACGTCTCTACAAAAACCGCCTGTGGGTGACCCCGGTGGCGTTGTTGACAGTGGCGGAAGATGAGCTCTATAAAGCCACCCGCGTACACCGCGCACGGCTCCACAACATCGCAAAGTTCAATCTTCGCCTCGATTCCGAAGCAAAGATTTTGGCCTCAAATAACTCCTTCCCAAAGTTGTAAAACGTCACTTTGTCGTCACCAATAACTTCCACAAACGACGATCTTGCGACGAGAAAGTTCAGAGTATTTACCGGCCGCCTAGGTACAATCTACGCATCATTGACTTTAACGTGGCGTAGGGATGTAGGGACACTCGGGCGAGACATCATCAGTGCCGCCGTTCAATCGCCTGGCACCACGGTGTTGCTTGCACGCGCTTCGATGGAGCTCGCCACGACTTTGTGTTTTACATTCTCACTGGAATTTGAGCATTGAGAAAGCTTTGATGATTGACACCTCACTCGGCTTGACGTCAGCGTCGCGGGAGTCCAATTAGCGCGTTCCGCAACTTTCGGACACAAAGTTGTGCTCGACGAGTTTAGCTACCCTGGTGGTGCTTGTCTGTGTAGACGGTGAGCCGCAGCATGCCGAGCCTTTCGTTCGTTTTCGTCCATGTCAGAAAGAGAATGTGTGGTATGGAACGTGGTTATATACGCATTTGAGCATTTGACCGCAGCGTGACATGGATGAAAACGAACGAAAGGCTCGGCATGCTGCGGCTCAACGTCTACGCAGACAAGCACCACCAGAGCTTCGCCCCAATCAACATCATTCACCACGTGGAGATGCGGGTTTTTTTTTTTTTTTTTTTTTTTTGTTTTTTGTTTTTTGATACCGGGTATATCAAGTTTGACATCTGGTTCCGGAACTCTCCACGGAGGCGTCCTGCAAACTGTGGCTTGTGTAAGATCACTATAGGCAAGGATTGCTGTTCCTGGGACAGCGCCTTGGAGTAGCTTGAGTTTGGACGTGCAGATTCTATGGTTGCAAGAGAGTGATTTAAATGTCTAAAATGAAGCCTTAAAGTTTCCTGCATAAGCAGGGCGCTCATAGGCATGACGTCTGCTTCTGCTATAGCTCCAATTTTTGACGCACATGCTGGATGCCCAAGGTAGGCTCGAAGAGCGCGTGCTTGAAGACTTCGAAGTGTGCCTATGTTTGTACGGCACGTGCCGTTGATAGTTGGAAGGCACGTACCAAAGCAAACCAGTAAAGTATGATATTCTCTTATACTTCATCTCACCTTAGCACGGACTAACTGCGAAGGCTGTGCAAGCGCGAGCGGCTAGCTTCGACGTCCTTGACTGAAGCACTCGCTGCACGAGCGCTCGTGCAGTCGCTGAGGCTTCATCCAAAGCAACTAGCTCGGGCTTTTGGCACGCGCGGCTAACAATAGTCCATGCTAAGGTGAGACGAAGTATAGTAAAGTATTCGATGGATCCGGTGCAAGAATTAACGATTGTTTTTCCACAACCCCCTCACGAGCTTCGACCAGAATTTTTTTATTTAATTTCAGCTCGAAATATTTCCTAAAATGTTTTGACTTCTGGGGGTTGTGTAAAGAATAGGAAGATGCAAATAACACACACACTCGCGCGTTCACACACACACGCGCGCACGCACACACACACAAATTACGCACTCCCCCAATATTAATATTTTTTGCTTGTTTGGTAGGAGAATTAAGTAATGGCATTCATTTTCATTGAAAAAAAAAATATATACCGCCTCTCCATTTTTTTTTTTTTTCGCGTGCCTTTTCGCCACACGCGGAGGAGGTGCACCTCTCCCGCCAATGGGGAGGCGTCGTGGGCACGCGATCCAAACCAACGCGTTTTTGTGCGAGCGTAGGTCGTGCGCTTCCCGGAAATGGCGTATTTGTTGACGTTTTTGCTGTTTCCGGTGGGCTTTCTGAGTCACAAGCGTGCGCGTTGGTTAGGACGGTGCGCTTTCGGGCGAGCGGAGAGCATCTGCGCCAGACGGCGAAGAAACGCGGAGCCGCAACTGGTACCCTCCACCGATTGGCCGAGAGAAGATATGGGAGAGGAGCGCCCTACTACGTCACAGCGCGTTTTCGTGCGCGTTCAGAAAAAGTTGAAATCATCCGACGTTCTTATGCGCGCCCGGAAGGGCGCGCATAAGAACGTCACGAGCTACGCAATTTCCAGGAAGCCCACAATATGCGAGCACAAAATCTCGTTGGTTTGGGTCGCGCTTTAGGCGTACAGAGTGGCTCCTCCTCTGTACGGGCGAAAAGTTGGCCGTGCAAAAACGCGGATGGTAATCGTATCCTACTCGTTTTCACACCGCTAGCCTTGCGCCTTTAGCCCGTTAACGTTGTAACATTAACGTTCTACCATTAGTCTTAGCCCCGATTTGGACCAGAGCGACCAGGTGCGTCAAATGAGCATGGAGGGGTATTCACGCTCAAAATGCTTGAGTAGTGATAGTACGTTTATGAGGCGATAACATTCCATTACTGATTTCCAGTGTGTTTACTTGCCTTACCCGGTCCTTTCAGAAAACAAGTATCGCCCGTGTCCTGTGGTGGCCATCTTCATTATGTACAAAACGTTTTTAGAGCGCAGCTCTTAGACGCCCGTTTCCGGCTTGAGCGGCGTCGGCGTAACCGCAAGGCCCCCCCCCCCCCCCCCCCTTTAAGGACCTCGGAAGGACCTCGGGTTCCTTCGACCTCGGGAGGACCCCGGGTTCCTTCGGGATGACCTCGGGTTTTTTCGGGAGGACCTCGGAAGGACCTCGGGTACCTCCGGTGACCTCAGGGAGGGGGGTCACGTGAACCCCCCTCCCCCGTGAGGTCACGTGACACCCCTTCCCCGAGGTCACGTGACCCACGTCTCTTCGAGGTCAAGTGACCCCCCCCCCCCCCCCCGAGGTCACGTAACCCCCTCCCCAAGGTCACATGACCCCCCCTTCCTGCTCAGTACCCTTCCCTCCTCCTCCTCAAGGGTTGTGCTCTAATTCGGCGTTACAGGGAGTTGTAAACGGCTTTCACTTTTTTTAGAGCGCAGCTCTTAGGGGCCCGTTCCCGGCTTGAGCGGCGTCGCCGTCGCCGTCGCCGTCGGCGTAACCAAGGTCATCCCAAGGTCACGTGACCCCCAAGGTCACGTGACCCCTCCAGGTCACGTGACCCCTCCCAAGGTCATCTCAAGGTCACGTGACCCCACGTGACTCCCAAGGTCACGTGACCCCTCCCAAGGTCATCTCAAGGTCACGTGACCCCAAGACCCCACGTGACCCTTTGAAGGTCACGTGACCCCCAAGTCACGTGACCCCTCTGAGGTCACGTGACCCCCGAGGTCACGTGGTCTCCTCCCCAAGGTCACGTGACCCCCAAGGTCACGTGACCCCTCCCAATGTCATCTCAAGGTCACGTGACCCCAAGGTGACCCCCACGTGACCCCCAGGTCACGTGACCCCTCTGAGGTCACGTGACCCCCCTCCCCGAAGTCACGTGACACCCCCCCCCCCCCCCGAGGTCACGTGACCGCCCCCCCGGAGCATATTAAAGAATGAGGGGAGGAGGAGGGGTCTACCCTCCCCTCAGTACCCTTCACTCCTCCTCCTCAAGAGCTGCGCTCCAATTCGGCGTTACAGGGATTTGTAAACGGCTTTCACTTTTTTTATTTTAGTTTAATAAAAGTAATTTAAAAACACAAACTCCAAGATTAAAAATTAAAACAGCGCAAGAACAAGGACAAGAACAAGAAGGTAGACGAACAAGGCGCTTTAACTTTGAATCATGAAATACCAACTAGCCCAAACTTCTACGTTAGTCAACATACTCCAAAAAACCTTTTCAAACGCATTCCCTGTGTTCTTGGGGACTCTAAGGAAAGGTATTGCAATCGTAGGCGGATTACATAATTAACGAAAGAATATTTCCACGTGTTTCTTATTTTTTTTAAAACCAATATTAATGTTGACAGCGATGAGCTTACACCGTGTACACGGCATTATAATAAAGTAGTGGAAGACAGCTTTTCTCGAAAGTTTGTTTCACATTGTTTAAAAATTTAGTAACTTGAACCGCAAAACTTTTTTTTAAATCTAAACGAAAAAAAAAAAAAAGCTTTCGTCCGCTTTTTAATTTATACTGAGCACGAAATGCAAAACTACCATCCTCTTATCATTAATATCAGAGGAGAAAAATGAGAACCCCGAAGAAATACGTTCTCGTTGATTATCTAATTTCCCGGCGTCTTTAATAGCTTGTTATAGAATCCCCAAGAGCAAAGGAAATATGTTAGCAAAACTACTTTTGAGTACGTATTTTTATATTTCTTCTACTAAACTAAAACCCGCTTTCTCAGCTTGACCCATCATTGACCGCGTGACACATCTTCACCAGGGAGCCGGAGGCGTGGCGGTGGCAGCCGAGCAACAGGATGAAGTGCTGGCTAGCTATCTGCAGTGCAGCGGCATGCTGGCCACCGACAACAGGTGCCTCGAGAGACTCGCCTGCCAGTTCTCGGCCAACGCCTTGGCACCCATGGAGAAAGACGTGGCCTCTCTGTGAGCATACCTATGCTACTATAGCGCCGATGTGTTTCGGTGGCGCCCTCTAATGGACTCCTTCCGTGACGTCAAGACCAGGATTTGCATCGCATGATGTAACGAGTTGTTTCCTTGGCTCAGACTTGTACGTAACTTAAATATACCCTACTCAAGTTACCGTATCTTAAATACTTTTTCTCTAGTAACTCGACATTTTACAAATGCTTTTCAAGGTGAGTATTTACTACTCAAACTTAAGTACCTTGTGCAAGTAACGTTTACTTAAGTTACTTGCAAATTACTGCTCAATTTGTAGACGCGTCGTCTAGACAGCACACATGGCCTACGTCCAAAGATGCACGAATTCAGAGGGCGGATTTGATGGAGCAGAGATGCCGCATGGCGGACTGTACTCGAGCTTCTTGCCCGGTGCGTACCGTAATAATAACAACAGACTGTACCATTACCAGACAGGGACAACATGATCCCTTCGGTAGACGCTTCTCTGATCCAGAAAGGAATAAACAACGAAACTACGCAAGATAGGTCTCTAACTTAACGTGGACTATGCTCAATGAACATAGGAAAATCTTCTATCAGATTTTGTCTCTGTCATTTCTTCGACGGGCTTCGAACGCGTGTGTGGCAGCAGCCCGGAGACTCGAGACATGGACGCAATGGAGCGTCAGAGCTATAGGGAACGGTTTTCGTTTTGTCATGGCAGCATTTACGGGAAATGTTTGAACATGTTGGCGACACAGAAGTATACTTCCAAGTGCTGTGCAATGCTAGCTTTGCATTCTAACCTTTGAGAGAATCCATGGAGCGCCTGTTTAGCATTTAGGTGTCGAATGCAAATTAAAAAAAAAAGAAAAAGACTGTTTTCGCGAGCCAATAATGCGTTTTGGTAATGGCGTTTTAAAGTGATAGCGATAGCTTCCCGGCAGACACCTTGCAGAGACTTCGTTCTCGTCCGTTGTCGTCGCCGCGTGCGCTAAAACGGGAAAAACTTTTTTACCCACCGCGCTCTTGGCGCGAGGCCAGGGAAACGCCAGGAAGGGTCTTCCTGTCGTCTGCTTGAAAGACTTGTTTTCAAACGTTACTCGCGTTATACGAAATCCCACTTTGGCAGTATCCAGTTGCTATGCGTAAGGTTGGATGGTTTTAGAAACTTCCACCGCACTTACCCACTTACTTCACGAATCGCCGAGCACTTGTGGCGGTCGTCAGTAGCATCCACGACGTCAAGCACGACGGCTATGAGAGTTAACCACGTCGCACGTCCGCATTCAGGTACGTGGCGGCACCATTCCACCCGCATTGAGCGACATGGCAACGCGGGTAGAATGGTGCAAAGAAACGAAATTATGATTTCTTTTTTATCTTTGTTTCTGTTGTATTTAGTTGTTTAACAGTAAATGACCGCATAAATTGTGACTTAAGAGTATCTTGACAGTAACAAGTTACTTTTTTCGAGTATTGAGTGCAGTCATGTCTGTTAATACGGACCTCGTTAATGTGGATACCCCGCATGTATGGACACCATGTTCGGGAACAAACTGAGAAAATACATGCATTTTTGTCTCGTTATTATGGACAACTCACATTGTGGACGATTTTCTTGGGGAAAGGAGGCATCCATATTAACGAGACATCGCTGTACTTTACTCAGACACTTTTCTCAGATTTGAGTATCTAGTATACTCTACTCAGATACATTTTTTTTTTTTTTTTTCAGGATTTGAGTATTTAGTATTCTACTTTGTTACTTTTCAGCCCAGTACAAATTAACTTAATTACTTTTTTCTGAGTATCTTGTACATGCAGGCCTGCCCTGGCTACTGTTGCCACGATAAGTTCGATGGCGTGTTTCAAAAGCACAATGAAAGGGAGCCATATATCGCATTCTGAAACTGTAATGCACCGTCGAAGTTGACAGTCCCTGACATTGCTCTTGTGATCGCGGACTGACCAATCGTGGAAGATGAAGAAAGCCGATCACGGCGACGCTTTCGGCCGCGCCCATCGCTGGATGAGAACGACAAGGCGTCTCTTTCAAACCCCCGCGGCCTCTGCAGCACGCACCCGTTGCCTTTCGCACGTGCACGCTCCAGATCCGCGAGACGTAGAAGCGTCATATCGGAGGTTAAAAGCTCGCACTGGAGACGGGGCGGCTGAAACTCTTCCCTGCAGTTATTATCCTGCCAGTGACTGCACTTCGTTCACCCCTAAGCTGAGGCTGCAGTCAATGCCAAGCACGAGAGCTCGAGGTCGCTGCCTCGAAGCGTTCTTCCACAGAACGAGCGCTCGCGCTAGAAACGAACGTCTCAAAGCCAGCAGCGCGGACTGGTAGTTTTGGCTACATGCTCAGTTGTAGGGTGAACAGAGTATATTTGCGGCGAGATGTTTTAGTGGCGCCCTCCTATGGTTCCCTTTCGTGACGTCACTACCTTGCGAACAACACGTTCGATGGTGTTTGTAAGGAGCACTGTGGAAGCTTGAAATCATTGCGCTCTTAAAGCAACGCTACCAACACCGTCGAAATTGAAGTTCTTTCATTCCTCTTATTTCCGTCGATGATAAATCCTTTGCTGACGTCATAGTCAGCATTTGGCCAATCGCGGAAGGCCGACCACAGCAACGCTTTCGGTCGCGCACGTCGCCAATAATAGAGAGTTTTAGTAGATCGTTCCGATACCTCCGATAGCCCCGATAACGATACTATGCATGCTCAAGGGAAGCGGTGACGGAGTATCGGGTATCGTTATCGGAGTCATGGGAACGATCTACTAAAACTCCCTATTCAGTGAGCGCGTGAACTTGACCTGCGTGCGCTTTATGAGGTTGCTGCACCGGGAACAGGCGCATAGTCTACGGGGCGAATGATCGGAGTAAGCATAGAGTTATCATAATGTATGCTAGAGGTTCAAGTGGCGCTAGTGTGCTGACGCAAATTGAAGCAGACAGCAACCAGTCGAAAATTGACTTCCGGTAATGCATTTCTATGGGAAGAAGTGAGTGCATTTTCTCCCAGCGCTCGATCATAAGAGCAAATATCCCAAACAATTCGTACGTACTAGGTAGCTTGGAACATTTCTCAGTCAGGCCGACGAAATAATTGGTCAGTTACGGCGTTTTTCTTTCAAATTCATCGCATTAAAAACAGTGCTAAAACGGCTTCGTACGTGTATTTATGTGCACTGTCGGACACTATTAGCACGAACACGGCGTCGGCGCTTTCCAGCATGGGGGTATACGTGCCAAACGAACGACGAACGTGTGGAAAATCAAGAGAGACGGCAAGAACTACGCAGTAACACTGGATAAGTAACCCCGTGTGCATGGAGACGGTCAAAATAAATAGAAAGCCACGTAATCTATTCCGATTTTAAACAAGTAAGTACCGCTTTATATTCTTTCTGCTCTGAGCGAAGCTGCTTGTTCTACGTTCAAAATATCACCCGCACGCTCGAAATCTTGGAGAACAAATGCCCGATAAAAGCTGCCGGGCAGAGAAAACAATACGAAGAGACATCTTTCATAGCCCACGGACTTTATTCTCTACGTTTATCCGCTCATGCACGACGGGGTCGTTTTCCTATAGTGACAGGACTGGCATATTATCAATATATAAGCGTCACCGGAATGCTGCCGAGCATTGAACACATTTTATATTCCTTTCGATTGTGATTTCGCTTCGAATCGTCGCTTGTTTTTACACACCTGCTGCGGAACACACGTTTGGGACTGAAATATAGCGATGTTAAACATCGTTCACTGATGAAGAAAGATGCGCTAACTAAAGCGATTACACTTTTACAGTGTTAATCAAGGTACATACTATTCGGTAGGACCGAAATAATCAAAGTGTTCCGTGTTATTTTTTCGGCGAAGAGGCAAAATGCACGCGCGTTTTCCCAAAGGAATACACAGGAAGACTGGAAAAGTAGACTGGTTGCTGTCTGCTTCAATTTGCGTCACGGAAGTCGCATAGACACTAGCGCCGGTTGAACCTCTAGCGTACATTATAATAACTCTAGGGGAGTAAGGACGGGCGAATTGGTCGAAATTAATAATGGAAACCGAATTAATAACCTAAATATACCGAACGTAAATAATTTCCCTAAATAAGCCCTTCGGCAGAAACCAAGACGACATCAACCTTTTTTCTTTTTTTTTTTTTTATTATTATTTTCAGGAACGATTTGACCAGAGTTTCGTGAAGCACCCTGTATACTGATCGCGGTCTCGTCCCCAAAATCCAAGGCAGTTTTTTTTTTTTTTTTTCGACGCGTGTGTTTCGTTTTTTTTTTTTTTTTAATGTTCTCCTTAGCACACGGCTGCGCTGTTGGTGTACGAGATATACAAAATATTTAAGCCTGCATAGTGCCCCCCCCCCAACGCACACACACACGCACACACACACAAAAACAAAATACAGGGGTTTTCTTCCCAAAAATAAACTACTGGCGCCAGAAACGAAAAATGGGCTTCATATTTACATTGTAATTTTTATAAAATCATTTATAACCTTCGATTGAGATAACAATTAGTTCTGAAACTTTGCCATCCGGTTCGGACCGCTAGCGGTACATTTGGACGTAGAATGAGAGTTAGTCGATACATAGTTTATGTTTGCAATAAAAAAAAAATAAAAAAAATTTTAGCATTGTATTTTGCAGGTGTCGTTTTTCCGCCATGCACCAGTGCACGGCGTGAAGCGCACTCTGCAAAGTGCACTTACACCATGCACGAGAAACATTGCGAAACTTCTGAGCACTATCAATCAAAGAAACGAAAATCAGATAGAATGATACATTATTTGAGGTTATATATGATCGAAGATTTTGAGACTTTGCTCCGATAAATAACTCCTAGCAGGTATACTATTTTTTAGAGTTCTTGCGCATACGGCGCGTTTTGCTCGCATTCCTAGGCAGAAACACGCGCGCCGGGTTGTGAATTTGAATTAAAAACGACAGGGAGATGCTTCAGTTGTCCCACGCCTCCAGCGTGATTTTCCTACGTTCGATAACGGCGTCTCTTGAGCCCATAGCGAGGCTCGAGTAGCCAAAGCACGGCGGAAGGCAAGGCAAGGCAAGGCACGGCGGAAGGCGCCAGACTGCCCTTCGGCAGTCTGGCGCAACTCCTGATATTTAGGTGCAACGTAGCAGCGTAAGTCGTTTGGCGCAGCAATCATCCTACTCGAGCTATTTTCTATCGTTGATGAAAGCAAAAGCATCCGGTAGAGCTGGTATCTACCGGATGGAAACTTCTCAACAGCCAAGATCCGGGACTTCTAAACACCGACGATTCCAGTTCTAATGTTCATAGATTAGCATGCCAGCATCCCAGAGTGAGTAATCCGTTTTTGTTCTCTTGTGTTTCTGCTTGCAGGATAATTTACACGCTGCTCAAGAACCGCTTCATCGAGGAACGCTTCAAGAGGCGCCTCCGAGACGCTGCCCAGATGGGCAAGGTGCGTCCCGGCACCTGCCGCAAGGACTTCGTCTGCAAACGCCGGAGGCGTCAGCAAGCGCACCAACTAACCTCTCTTCGAAACTGATGGCACATCTCTATATCGGGTACCCGGCATCTTACAAAGGAACAATTAGAATATCAACTAAGAGATTTTTTAACTTCACTTCTATTGTTGTAAAACTTGCCAGTGGATACCGCAAGCTCGCCGCTAGCCCTGTCTGCAGAATTCAGGACCTTCTAGGCGAGTTGCGGGATGGCAGAAGTGATGCACCAATCGTCGATTTCGAGCAGGGTGCACCCCAACCACGCGGCGAGATCCCGAACACGCGTGACAAGGCTAGCGGCGCGCATGCGCAGTAGTGGCGGTTCCGTTCTTTGTTGTGGAGTGCGCGTAGAGGACGGGAGGAAACGATCTACGTAAATTCCCAATTAGATTCATTAGATCGCTCCCGAGTCGTGCTCGCTCGAGGCGCCCAGCTGTTGGGGAGTTTTAGTAGATCGTGCCGACAATATGACTCGATACTCCACCGGCGCCTTTGCGCATGCGTCGCTTTGTTATCGGGTGCCGTCATTGGGTGTATCAGAATGATCTAGTATGGAATTTTAGTAGATCGTTAACTCCGATAAAAGATACTCCGCCAGCGCCTTTATCGTATCCTTATCGGAACTATCTACTAACACTCCCTGTTCGTGAATCCAACGGTGTGCATTTAGTCCCCTCTCCTCCGTTTCATACTTTCGGCGCCAAGCCGCAGAAGTATTCGCTGTAGATTTCGACAAACGCTAGTTTACGTATTTGCCGCTACCCTGGATGGCATAGTAGTAGAGTTTAGTGGCCCTAGAGGGAGGCAATGTCACCCACCACCGAAGAGGCGATTTTTGCGAACGGCGCGTTTGCGACTGTCAAAATGAAGGGCCCTTAATCGAAATTATGGTGCCTGGATCGCGTCTTTGACTGGTGTGTCTAGCGTCCTATCCCGCCCATACATCAAAAGTGGTCCCAATGTGGCAACAAATGACGCGATTGTCATGCTGTTGCCTGTCGCGATCCTGGCGGTTGGCCGTAGAAATGCTGGCGAAAAGCAGGAACGAACGCGAGTGTCGCTGTCTTCACGGCGTCCCTTTAGGCGTCCCAACTCCGGCTGCTCAAGTTTCCGTGAACTGTCACAGTGGAAAGCGACCTCCAGCAGAACAGGCATCTGCTACATACACCACAGCTGTTGGGACGCCGCCAGGGTCGCGACCGGCGACAGCATGACACTTCTTTGACGTCATCAGGCGGAAATCGAGGGACCACTTTTTTGGCTGCGGTCAGTCGGAGACGCGCTCCAGGCACCATAATCGAAATGACCGGCGCAAACTTCCGCGCCCTGGTGGCGTAAATGTGACGCACAGGAAGGCGTATTGTATGCATACTGTTGTGGCTAGGTAATAAAAGTAGTACAAATGCTTCCTTGAACGCCCATTAAAGCTGTGGAGGAGCACACATCTCTTCAAACGAGCAAAAATAAAATTGCAAGAAAAAAAAAAATGTACAGCAGAGCGTTTTAGTAGAATGCTGAAGGCAGCAGGACTGCCTAATATAGTCCACCGCGCAACACCGTAGCGCAAACGCGACATGGGTACTTTTCTATTTTAATGTTTTTTTTATTATGATTTTTCTTTTTGACGGGCGTCAATTTTTACCGCACAGGTCCACTACAGTAGTAGTTTTCATGACAGCACTTCAATTCGGAGAATAGAAAAAAAAAAACAAAAAAAAAAACGTGATCCTTTGTTCGTGCTAACCAAGTACACTCGCCGGCAATATGAAGGTGAACGTTTTACCTGGTTTCTTGCCTTTTTTACGGCTCCCTAAACCTACAGGGTGAAACAAGGAGACGCCAGGCTTTTTAAATCGACCGGAAAATTCGGTTTCTTAACCTATCGCGCTACGACTTCGTGCAGCGTTGCCCACAGATGGTGCATTTTTTTTTTTTTTTTTTGTAAAATTTGCGAAGAGCGAATTTACCTGAGGAAAAAGTAAAGAAAGAAAAAGGCTTAGCTCTTACGGAGACGCAGCGAAGCCACCGGTCTTCAAACAACACGGCGCCGTTTCGCACGCGAGACAAGAGATGGTGCAAGTGGTCGCGACGCCAACTGCCGACAAGGAACTGCAGTTCCTTGTTGTTACCGCGCCTGTTCTTGTTTCTGCGACTGTCGCCGCCTGCGGAACGCGCGCCTCTTTTGAGTCGAAAAGATCGTCTGCTAAAAAGGCCTGCTCTCGGCGCCTTATGTTCGTTCGTTGGTGGCGTTTGTTGCGCCACCTCTTGTCTCCCGTGCGAAACGGCGCCGTGTTGTTTGCAGACCGGTGGCGTCGCTGCGTTTCCATAGGAGCTAAGCCTTTTTCTTTCTTTACTTTTTCCTCAGGTAAGTTCGCTCTTCGCAAATTTTACACACAAAAAAAAAAAAAAATGCACCATCTGTGGGCAACGCTGTACAAAGTCGTAGCGCGATAGGTTAAGAAACCGAATTTTCCGGTCGATTTAAAGAGCCTGGCGTATTCTTGTTTCACCCTGTATATTAACTCTCAATGTCTCAAATGGTACGTGGCCAAGGGTCTAAACTTTGCGTTCTAGCCCTCTTCTGGAACAGAGCTTGTTCCAAAACTTGCAGGAGCGTCAAAAACAAGAAGAGGGCTGTTCACCTTCATATCGCTCACGGGTGTACATCCAGACTGATCTCACTGTATCAATAGTAGCAAACACTGCAACATGATTAAGATTTGCTAGTAACATTTTTGCCCAAAAAACTATTCAACCGAACTTGGACAAGATTGTGTGCATAGCAAGTGTATTTGTCATGTACCGCGAGATTACTTTCACATCTTGTACAATACCAAAGCATTCAGCCTGCTTGTCAAATGCACTACAATAAATACGAATTGTTAATAAAAAAAAGATCGAGGTACACCTAAGCTTTTCTTGTGAGTTGTGAATGCGAAAACATGGAAGCCGCTCGTCCGCTCCCTTTTTCGTCTGTTGCGTACTTTTCGTCGCTGGTCAGCGCGTGTGCTCCTCTGGTGACCTTGGACCAGGGTGTAAGATAGACAGGTGGGGAAACGAGAGCCAAATGAGCGACCGGATTGTGTCCCCCTCGGGTTTCTTTTTCTGTGGCGCCATCTATGTGGAGCACCGCGAACTCTCACTCCGGGTAAGCGACCGGTGGCGACCGGCTAAACTGATGGAGATGTTTTCTCGTGGATTTTCAATGAAGGAATGCCGTGCTCTCGGTTTATTTTGCGCAGTCTCCCATAAAGTTCCATGCAAATTCGATTCCAATTTTTCTCCTCTCGCCGCAGCGCCATCTGTCGCAAATCGGGAGTACCCGCAAGCAGACGGGTACACAATCCGGTCACGGCGCTGCGGTAGGGCTCTATGGGCCGTTTCCCCACCTGTCTATCTTAAGGTACGTTTATACTCCAACGTAACGTCGACGGGCGCGGCGTAGCGCAGCGCGCACAGATTCTGATTGGTCGCAGATATCGAGTTCCTGGTTGCCGGCCAATGAAAGGCGCGCGTTCTGCGCTACGGTGCGTTCACTGCGCTCAACAACAACCCTTTACACCCTGCCTTGGACGCTCCGCGTTGATGGACACGCAGCGCCATGGGGTGAGCGGTCGTGGAAACTGACGAGCGCAGCGGCCCATGAGAGCCCCGTCGACGCGCGCCAGCCAATGGAACCGAAGGAAACTATCTGCCGTTTTCGCGCTTCATACTCATGACGTCTGCTCGCTTCATAAAACAATTAATGCTTTCGCATTAAAAAAAGAGTCGGGGCGCGTGTCCTTCAATACATGCCGCCTCGAGGCTGATAAAACAGCGCAGCGGAGGGGGAGGGAAGGGAGAGGGGGGGGGGGGGGGGAGGGGAGGGGACTGCGAGCGCGCGCACATCGGAGTAAGCAGGGGGCGACACGAGGCCTCAAGGGAACACAGACGGGCGAATAAAAGGGGGACGCACCCGCTGAGGTAGCATCGAAATGGAACACGTTTCAGGAAAGAAAAAGAGAGGAATCTGCACTAATCCAGGCCAAGACTGGTAGAGCTGGAGTGAAGTAGATGTAAGTAAATCAAAATGATAGGAATGCAACAAAAAGGTCCTGGGAGCAAAATTAATACAAATGAAAGAAAAACAGGAGGGTTCCATTGTTCATTGACCACGCCTAAGGGGATAAGTGTAGAGGATGCAAGAGACTTAACTAGACAAAAGAATCGAGGCAACATTCGCAGAACTTGAACCGAACGATATTGGACGGAACACAAATAGCAAAACGACACAAGACGAGAACACTAATGCGAGTCAGGAAAACCTCTGGGTACAGCTGAGAACGATTTAGATGCACATTTGGTTATTCTTTTACAACAGGTATACACAAATAAGGTTGCTATAGCATAGGAAGCAGAAATAATAGAAGCTGCGGAAATAATAAAGGACTCGGGCAGGGTTGTCCCCTATCACCGCTACTTTTTACGATATACCCGAGCAGAATGGAAAAGAAATTAGAAGAGTGCAATTTAGGTTTTGACGTGTCATTATGGAGTAGGGAAAGTAAACAAAGTTATGCCAGGAATGTTCTACACAGACATTGTACTGTTAGCAGACAGCCGGGATAGGTTACAGGAGCTGATTAAGATCTGTGGAGAGGAAGGAGACTCTCTCGGCCTGAAATTCAGTAGCGACAAGTCGGGAATAATGGTCCATAACGATGAAAAGGGGTACCTGCTGAAAATTCAGGATGTTTTATAGACCACACAGGAGTACAAATACCTAGGAGTATGATTGAATGAGGGAAAATAATACTTAGAACAGGAAGAAAATATGCTAAAGAAAGGAAAAGGGCATTCAGCAATTATGAAGCATATAGGGCACTATAGAATTAGATATGAAGTTGTTAGGGGAATATGGAAAGGTGTCTGGTGCCGGGGTTGTCTTATGGCGATGCGGCATTATGCAGGAAATCGGAGGTCCAGTCGAGCTTAGACTCGGCAGGGGAGCATGGGCAGACTGACACTGGGGGCGTATGGGAATACACCAAATGGAGGCGTGCAGGGAGACATGGGCTGGGCATCTTTCGAGGCTAGAAAGGCGATCAGCAACTTGAAATATGAACAAAGACCGGACACAATTGAGGATACACGACGGGCGAGAAAGCTATATAAGCACCTGTACATAAAGTTCGAAATTAAATGGACAAACCGAATACGAAAACTAAAAATTAAAATGCCAACAGACACGTGCAGGGGCAGAACAGACTACCCTGCAAAAAGGGAAGTAAAAGCAGCCGAGGGGAAGATGTGGGAGGATAGAATGCAGGGAAAATCAGCCTTAACTATGTATAGGGGACGAAAACAGGAAATATAGAAACATTGGGTATGATAATTCACGGGGGAGCTCGTTGTTGCACGAGCTAGAACATGAGTATTGAGGACTAGGGCATATAGGACAAAGTATGAGGAAAGGCATACGCGGTGCCAATGGCTGTTTGGTTTGGCACTGAAGCGCGAAACATTGGGTATGCCTGGGAGTGGTGGAAGCATTGTTCAAACGTGAGCCACGACTCTGGTGGCGCCGCTTAGCCTAGCGTCCGAAGCAAGAAATACTGGGTAGGCCAGGAAGCCGTGATCGCATAACGTGCCAGTGCGGCGGAAGCTATGGCCCTGGCAGGCCAATCAGAACGTGACTACGTATCACAGGAGTGCGCTTTTACACAAGGGGCCCTGAACTCGTGAAACACAAAATTGGAGCTGAAAGTTCACGGAACGCGCCGATTGGATGCTGGCGACAAAAGCGCCAGTCATCGTCGTGATTGTCCAATCGGTGCGCTCCCTCAACTTCCGTGTTTCACGAGTCAGGGGGGGGGGGGGGGGGGGGGAGGTTGGGCATCACCATGATGACCTTTGGGAGGATCGGGAAAAAAAATTAAACTCCCCCCCACACCTTTTCCCCAGGGCGAGAGAGTCGCCAATTTTCCTCGCGGGCGCTACGAGCTATCCTTGCCAATCCCGGTCTGTGGAGGCAGAGGTAGCCCGCGATACGCTTTCCGCACGTCGCTGTGCCCTCTCCGAAGTCGCGCTACACTCGTACTGCCTTGGATTGGCTGCGATGTCGCGTAGCATCCGCTGCGCTCGGGCGTAAGGTGACACGGAGTCACGGGCTTGATAGTTATACTGCCCGATATAAAAGGTGCAGCCGTTAAGGCTGAACTCCATGGAGCGAATGCCGCCCGACGGCACGCTCGCTCGGTTTGCGAGCGACGTAGCAGCCACTGTGGTGACGCCACGCGCAGAGCAAAAGCCACAGTGCCAAATTCGTCACTTTTCGGCAGCATATTTGTCCCATGGAGTCCAGCCTTTGCTCCTGTCTCACAGCCCTTTCGCCAATCAATGGCTCTATCAGCCTTGAGGCAATACAACACGTATCGAAGGCCACGCGCTTGGGCGTTACCACACAAGTGCTAGCGATAGTACTGTGCACAAAGCTCAGCTCCAGCACAAAATAAAGCAGGGACCACAAGTGCAACTCAATTCTATGATGTTTATTGAAAAAATGTCTGAATTTGGAGTCGTGCGCAGCCCCTTACTATGAGGATGCACTCCCAAACAAAAACTGCACCCCTGGCCCGAGCGGCAGCACACGGAGACAAGTAGGGCGGCCGTTGGTCAAAAGACGCGGCGCCGCGGACGGTCCCGCCGCTGCGCCCTCGGCGAGGCTGGACACGGTCACGGAGGGAGGTGCACTTTATTCCTCGGCAAGTAGCAAAACGGAGAACAGGGGGACAGGCGGGGGACGTGGGTCGGCCTTTGGCGCTAGCTCTGTACAAGGGCGGGGCGGCCGGGCCCCTTGGCGGCACGCTCGGCCTCACTCCTTGCTGGCGTCTTTGCTGCCGTCGTTGCTGCTTTCCAAGTCGGGAATCTCTGCGAGGAGGACGACCAGTCTTTTTTTGCAAACTCGACTATTAAAAAGTAAAACTTGAGGATCCCACGTGCCAAACTAATGGAGGGCATCTTTTAATGTGCAATTAATATCACGGTTAGGCACAGGTTTCCGTCAGATTGCGAGCAACTCGGTCAGGAGCGATCAGTCGTAGGAGCTTCGCCCTCAAGCCACCGTGGAAGCTACAATGGAGAACGTATGCTACCAACAGTTTTGGTTTACCGATGGAAGGATTTGAAGCTGCCAGCACTTTCCACAGATACCACCGAAGCAACGGACAATCTTAGTCGTAACGTCACAGAGGTTGCTACCAAAACATTTCACTGGCAATAGTACTTGACACATTTCTCACTTTATATGGTTAAAATACATTGTTTAAAAAAAAAAAAAAAAACAACTTTAAAATTACACAAAATTTGGAATGCAGAAAAATTGCTTTATGCTATTTTCGAAGGAAGGTTATTTACGGCATGTAAATTGTACATATGGTTTTATTAAGACATATTTTCAATTCTTGTACGATTTGAAATTCTTCACGGTTTGCTCTTGAAAACAGGGTGTGGTACAATTGTATGCATTCCAAAATTTTGTGCTATGTTCAACTGTTTTTTTGCACACATATTCCAGACTCAATCTGTGTGCACAATAAAGACGCGAGTGAAAACACAGCAGCACATTCGACTGGATGGTAAGTACATTAAAGAGAAGCTGAATGGCTACCAAAGTAATAAGCTTTCACTTGTAATGTATGCTCCAGTCTATTTCAATATCAGTTTAGTTCTTTCTAGCATTTATAAGGTGAAAAGCCAAGTTTTGGCATGACCCCTTATTATACCCTAGTTAGACGAGCCACCTCAACTGGCACTGAGACAGCGATAGCTAATGCAATCACATTTGGTTGGAGTTACACGATGGCTCCAACAGCGTCAGAACCGTAAAGACAGGTGAATTTCACCAAGGTCCCCACCTCGGCTGAAGTGAACGGACATGGCCATCAAACGACCAGAATTATGTACTGTTTCAGAATCCAGGGAGAGGTACAGTCGAACACCGCTCCAACGAATGCCGCTTCAATGAAATTTCCAGTTCAACGAATATTTTTCGGTTCCCCATCAACGGTCCATAGCAGTCAATGCATAAAAAGTCTCACTACAGCAAACGCCATTTCTTGTGTCGCTCTGCTTGAACAAAACTTTACAGAACCATTCGAAGTTCGAAAGCTGAATTTTCCGTACGGAAAACAAACTTTCGAGCAGTTTGGTGCATTTTAGCATATAAAATAAGTCTACTATAAAGTTTAAATCGTGTGTTGAACCACTAGAAACTGCCACTAATAACCGGTACCAGAGCGCAACGTTGACAGGGCGTGCAGGCCGCCATTACTCTATGGCGACGGCGATGAGGCTGACCTTCCCGGCCTTCTTTCGCTGTTGCGCCGATGTTGGTTTCACCCTAGCTCTTGGCTTGATAATCCTCTGCTGCAGACTATCCAAAGCCGAAGCTCAATCGCCTTTTTTGTTTTGTCGGTTGTCTTTTTGTCAGTAGAGCATGCGGTCTTTTTGGACAGGGTACCACCATGCAAAACGCTCCTGGTCGAAATTGCAAGTGGACAGACAAAAGCTGTCATCGCGGGAAAGTTAGGAATTTCTCAGAGTTCTTTCTCGACGATCCTAAAGTTGAAAGATGCAATCGAAAAGGCTCTTGCATCGAGGACACCAGTCAAGCGAAAGAAACTGACACCAATGGCGCACAAAGGGCTCTACAAGGCTATGCACACGTGGTTTGTGGAGAAGAGGGCAGAGAAGATACCCATTAGCAGAAGCGTCGTGCAGCAGAAGGCCTTAAATTTCGCTTGCTGCTGGGAATCAACAACCTCAAAGGCTAGCACCGGCTGGCTCGACAGGTTTCTGTACTCTACCAGCTATGGTATGCCATTTTTTTTCGTGAATTTTGCAACAACAAAATTTTTGCTACAACATTTTTTTTTTTTTTTTGCGCATTGTCAATTTTGTTGCAATGGGGTTAGACAGTATCTGCACACCGTCTTAGCAGCAAATATTGTGGGTGGGGGCACGTCTAGGGGTTGGAACTTCAGTTATAATCATTCTGGCAAGTCCCGGAATCCAGTGCTCCAAGTGATATCGATGGCAATGCGGCATCTGCGTCCCTCTTGCCTGCACTCGTTCGAAGAATTTTATTCTCCTCCTTCACTTTCATTTCAGTCTAATCACTTACAAGGGTTCCATGTTATCAGTAGATACCGATACCCCCCGCCCCCATCGCCTCTCCCAAGTTACCTAGAGCCTGTTTCATTACAGTAGGGGACAACTGGAAAAACCCCGACAACGGTGGGTAGTGACAACCGGCGACATCGAGATCATTAGTGAATACTGTACGCAAACCCTATTTTATAAGACTGGCATCCACCCGTAACACATCTTGGTTCCGAAATCCAGAATAAGCTAGTTGAACGAGGTTTTGGCGAAACAATATCAATCCCTGACTGGAGAACAAAAACACGCTAAAGTCCCGCAAGGAAACTCCTCCCGACAAACTACCATTTTCCTGAGAGAATGACGGGCCTCGCAATAACTACTTTTAGACTGGTTCTTCCTTTTTGCTAAAACTGCTCTTTCCACAAGAAAACTATAGAAGCAAGTTCGTCGATTTTAGGAAGCGCGTGAGCCAGAGTAGAGATAAAAAAAGAAAATTTGTGGAATTGGCAATTCCGACTGCTGTGGCACTTTCAGGCACGTGATGGAAGAAGTCATCTGCCCAAACCATTTTATTCCCCCCGTTACCTTTCAGCTAAAGCGATGACAGTGTGGTGCGTGAAATTCAAAGCAGCTGCGGTAAATCAGTCGTGACACCTCCATCGCGACCGATTGCACATTTACTCTTAAGTCAAATTTGGGGCTTTACGTGCCTGACCAACCAAGGACATCCGGCAAGCTGCTCATTCACTCAAAAATCCAAAACTCCCTATTTAGAAACAAATAGGTTCAAGCTTTATCACCAAAAGAATTCTGGGTTCCTTAACACAGAGACGCTTCGACGGCAGTCAGAAAATGAAACACGCAGAGCAAATGCAACTATCCTTCATAAAGTGCTCAACGAAATCTGGCACCAAGAATGCCAAGCAAATAAAAACCATGTGGAATTGCCACTTTTCTCTTTAACTGCCACTACTCCCTTATGCCTGTGCAGAAAGAATGACTTGCATTTGTTCACCTCTAGTGAAGCCAAAAAAATTATCGGGTGCACAACTGAAGACTGCTGAACTGCCCATGGTAAGGGTGGAATCTACAGCCAATAACACTAATTATTGCCAGGTCACTGGACTGACCGACGAAAACAGCTACTGAGCAGGGTGCAAGTAGAACGCCGATCCCTAAAAAAGAAAATGGAAGCTTTAACAGACCGCTGAAATTTTTGGTGTAATGTTGACCAACTTTTCTTCTTGTACGCAGTGATGCACAGCCAAATGGAAATTTGTCAAAATGGCATAACTGACACAAGTGAACCACTGCTGCAAAACCAAACTACGACAGGGATAGACGTGGCTTCCAAGACTGAAACGAGCAACCCAATCTCCTCCACCGATTGAAAGAAAGTGCGTATCTGCTACGAAGGATGAGGTCATGCCCACGAGAGGCACAGCTAACGAACGGAAAACAAGTATCCAGACATTCCAGGCATGCTTTCCCACCAGCCTGAGCTTACAGTTTTCTCAATCCACATAGCATGGTATGAAAGAGAACAAAAGGGCCACCTCACCACAAAAAACAGTCAAAAAAAAAAAAAAAATGATACGATTGAAGATATCGAGCTTCGAAAGAAGAAATCCACAGAAAAAGGGCATAGCAGGCTATTACCAACTGCAAATGAACTGGCTATTTCTTCCTTCTAGGGGGGAGGGTGTTTGGAACGATTTCTTTTATGTGCAAGATGACAATCTCAAATTTTGACCAGTGCTGAACACAAAGTAGGTGATAGCATCGAACTATACTATCACGTAAATATGTTTCCCAACCGATAGTGTCAAACTCTTATCACAGCTAACGAACGGAAAACAAGTATCCAGACATTCCAGGCATGCTTTCCCACCAGCCTGAGCTTACAGTTTTCTCAATCCACATAGCATGGTATGAAAGAGAACAAAAGGGCCACCTCACCACAAAAAACAGTCAAAAAAAAAAAAAAAATGATACGATTGAAGATATCGAGCTTCGAAAGAAGAAATCCACAGAAAAAGGGCATAGCAGGCTATTACCAACTGCAAATGAACTGGCTATTTCTTCCTTCTAGGGGGGAGGGTGTTTGGAACGATTTCTTTTATGTGCAAGATGACAATCTCAAATTTTGACCAGTGCTGAACACAAAGTAGGTGATAGCATCGAACTATACTATCACGTAAATATGTTTCCCAACCGATAGTGTCAAACTCTTATCACGCAAATACACTAAATAAAACCTCGCTCATTTACATAAATCGCAACAATTCCCCGCTTAACACGGGTAGTGAACTGGGACATTACAACAACTACACCAAAGAAAGCAACCCACCTTCGTCATCACTGTCACCCGCCTGGTCCTGAAACAGAAGAAACAAAGTGAGTCACAGCCTTCGTTTCACCTCAACGTTTACCAAGGCGGATGCTACGAGCCACCGGAGCCAGTCCAATATCAGGCGAGTCTACACCCCTTCAGGTCACGCGATACAGTGAAGTGCTGGACTGGCTAGAATGACTCGTGGCATCTACAGTAAAGTGAAAATAAGTATACCTACACGCAAGCACTACAAGAGAAACAGCAGGGTGCCTCAGTGTGTAGGTACTACACTCTTAGATTGGCAGAACCTCCCCCCCCCCCCCCCCCTTTCTTGCTCACCTGCACCTTTGTCCACTACCACTGTACCAAACCACTGCACGACAAAAAGCCGCATCAGTGTTAGTAAGGCATTTTTTGTTACTCTGCTGCTGCGAAGTCTATGGCCTAGAGGAAATATTAACATTACGTTCTGTCACTTATTTCTGGAGCTGGCAGATGCACAGAAAAATTAATCCGATTTGGCGGATTGGCGATCATATTTTCAGTGATGCAAAGTGGTGTCTTTGGAAGAATGATTGCTTATTAATTCTAAATACAATAAAACAGGACTTCATAAAAAAAATAACTCGCCATATTTGACACGAGGAGTCCTTTTTACAAAGGTAAGCAGGCAGCTTATAGGACACCATCAAGGTGTTTTAGAACTTGTATTCATTCTTGATTTTAGGATGTAAAATGAAGGTGCAAATAGAGGGTCTGATGCCATTTTAAATTTTGCGAATGCAGATCGAATTATTTCAGAACATTGCAGACGCGGTTCGGATACGAAGCCTGCGCATGCAGATCCAATGTTATTCACGCAGGGCTCTACTTATCCATAGTGCTAACAGGTTAGTAAGCTTGGGGAAGTTTTGCAGAACTCTTCTTGCATATGTGGCAGCAGACTAGCAGATGCTCTGTGCAAGGCTACAAAGAGCAAGGTTACGAACTTCCCACCCAGCCCCGCACAAATTAGATCGGGCACATAGATTGAAGAGTATCGCTACCACCATGGCCTAACTGAAAGGTGTGCACTACAAAGCTGGGTAAAAAGGCAAAATTTTTTTTTTTAACGTGTTTTCCAATTTACTATGTAACCCTAGCCGGATACAGAACATACCTACGGTGTAAACGAGCCTGTTAAAGATCAAAACATTTAGGGCTAATATGCAGACTTGTGAGGTCACCATGCATAACAGGCGTTACTACGGCAACTTGAATCGCAAATGGCGCCAACAAATACTAAAGAAGACCCCTGATAAAATTTGTTCATTGTGCTTCTTCCAACTTCCACTGTTGCACGAATGTGTGAGACACGTGCCACGAGCCTAAGTGCTCCGGCACCATTTGCTTTTAAGGACCACCGGTTCAGTGCTGCGCTGCCATTTGCTTCCAAGAGGCTCTCTGAACACAAACACAACCACAACCAGGGGCCTTGAACACCTCGGAGTCCATGTATCCGGGTGTTCGGGGAAAGCCGTACACCCACCATGTCGGGCATGTCGTCGTCTCCAAGACCCCCCATGCTGCGCATCATCTCCTCGAAGTCGCCTCCGCCAGAGCCCGGACCCAGCTCGTCCCCGGAGTCGTCCTCGTCCACCCACTTGTTGAAGTCCACCTTGAGCCAGTGAAACTTCGTCTCCTCCTGTAGCAACCGCTTCCAGAAAGGGCCTGCCTCCGCCTTGGCCAGCACAAACTCTGTGCCCCGCGGCCGCACCACATACTTGGAGCTGTCGGGCTGCACAAACCGTTGTCACAATCAGTGGATCGCCCCGCTTTGAACATTGGTGGACAGACAACTATCTTCCAATGAACGAGCTTAAAAACAAGAAACGCACACAGAAACAAACCAAAGGAAGCTTTTCTATCCGGTTTCCGTACTGATACCGTACGGGGTTGCTGCAAATCCAAATGCAATCTAACTCTCATGTTGGAATGGCAGTAAATCAATACTAGGTGTTCCAGAAAAAATCAGAATCGATACCAAGAGCATTTTTTCCAAGTGTTCCAACTGGAAGGAGTGATTGTTGAAAATTAATTGGTCGGGCTTAGACAAAAACATAATGATGAAAATTTAATAAACTTAGTTGAAGTTTCAAAGCCGAGAGGACTGCGTCTTTTTGTGGTTGAAATTTTAGCAGTTTACAAGGCCTCACATCGAACAATTTAATATTTAAGCGTGGGCAGGTTACACAATCAGTACTAAGCCTCAAGGGGTTGGATTGCCTTCACTGAATGGACATGTACACTTAATACTTTGGTTAGTTCCCCAGATGAAGACTTTCCACCACACCAACTCCATGCCTCAAGGGGTTGCTTGCCTTCATTGAATGGACATGTACACTTAATACTTGGGTTAGTTCCCCAGATGACGATTTTCCACCACACTAACTCTTGCAACAGACTTTTCATTTTACTAAAAAAAAAGAAAAAAAAAAGTGATTGTTTGCTTAACAAAAGTGTCGCACAGTATACCAACTTTGATTTGTCCAGAAAACTTTGTCAGCCATCAAAAGCAAATGAAACTGTGTTTTATGTACCAAACCAACTAAGTGCAACTGGCATGCTCTAGCAAAGGACTGATAGATAATTTAGAACACCTGAAGATATTTTGATATAAGGGCACCTTGCCAGGATTTTTACCCAGTAACTTGGGATCTGTAGTATGGCACTTCGCCTCAGAGCCACACAGATGGTTACTACAGAAAATGCTCGACTTAATAGGCCAATGATTAGCATTGCCCAGTGTAATCCTGGGCACTAAGCAACAAACATTTTAACTAAAGACAGGAAGTCATAAGCTGCAACTTCACAGGGGACAAAAATGATTTTAATACTTTTGAACATGATACACTGAGCAACCGTAACCCCCGCTCCCCACGAAATTTCCCCGGAGAGTCCGACTCATTTGCTAACAGGCTGCCTCGGGGGGAGGGGAGGGGAGGGGGGCTGTAAATTGATACAGACACCTGACAAAACGTTGAATCGAGCAGCATCAACCACAAACTCTTAGTGTAAGCCTAATAAATTTATTTTCTCAGCCTGCTGTAATTTACAAACTTTCATTGCATGGCCGCTTGCCACAGTCACAGCATAGCAGAGCATCAAGCTATTGAAACGCGGCAGGAGGTCGCCGACAAGTCACCCACTTCTAACTTTACATGAAACGTCAAGCTGGGAGTAGACATTTTAACTGTTAGCACGAAAAAAAAAAATCGGGTAGCCATTTAAAGTCTCAGTCTGGTCAGCTCTCGTACAGAAAATTTGGTAGACAGTAATGATTATTATTATCTGGATCCTCAGTCTGGAATTAGTATGCAACTACCAGTGTTGGATAAGGTACATCTAAAAGTACTTCATGTACAAAGTAAACGAGAAGTGATGTACTTAAAGTACCATAAATAGAATGTACTTTCAAAGCACAAGCACATTTTAACCTATCTATCGTGATGCCCTTTCAATTCCCTATACAGTGATTTTTTAACTGGTATGCATTGCCCCAGAAGTAACCGCAAGTGCATTGCTTATTTTCTAAAATGGCGGCACGTATTGGATAAAGTTAGGTGGCCACAGAGTAGTTTTCAGAAATGGCGCCAAGTTCAGAAGTCCGACTTCTGAATTGGGCACTGCCTGTACTGGCTTGTTGCACCCAAGGGGGGTTGAACCTTCTAGAAGAGAGCATGATGTCAGCCCTGTAGCTTATGGAAGCAATCCTCTCGTAGAGGAGTGTCTTCTTAACAAAAAAAACTGTGCAGGCGAGCTGGTGATAATTAATCATAATTTGACATGTGAGACTGTGGTGCTCAAAAAATGAAGAAACTTTTAAGTCCAAGTCGAAGGAAAAGAAAACGGAGGAGAACGTCTGAAGACATTGAGACATTCTTCTCCATTGTCCGTTTCTTCGACTTGGAAAGTTTCTTCATTTTTCCGCACCACAATTTCACGTGTTGCATTATGATTAATTGTCCTCTCCCGATATTTTAGCCTCCTCGCTTGCACGGACAGAGCGAGAGGTAGTGAAAGTTGGCAAAGCTACGAGAAAGCCACCCCCAGAACAAACCAAACGATGCGTCGTCTGCTCGCGTTTGCGGTGAGCAAACATCCCTCCCAGTAATTCTTCGGAGCTGATAAAACACAATTTTGCAATACAAATTTAAGAAGACCAAATGTGGGGAATGTACTTTGAAGTCGGGAGTTTTTCTCGGAAAGCGGCAGAAAAAAATACTTTAGTAAAGTACAAGTTATATAAATATACTTGAAGTAGTAGTACTTTAAGTACAATCTACAGTCGGGAGCGAAAGCTTGCAGAGCACGGAAGCACGTGCCGAAATGCAACGCCGCACCGTCCGATGGCCCGCCGCCGCATTAAAAGAGTCATGAAACGCTTTTCCAACTTTTTCCTGTCTACCTTTTCTCCTCAACTCATAAATAGCGCATTCTACCAAACAGTTCAAGAAGGCGGAAGGAGGGGGGGGGGGGGGGGGGGGGGGGGGGGAGTCCCCTCTTGCTCGGACTCGTTTGTGTACCCGGGCACAGCCATTGTCCCCCTAGAAGATTAGCCCGTCGCTCAAAATCCAGACAAAAGTCGCTTTCCCCACCCCATTCTCCCCGAAGCTGACAGTGCTGTGGAAGCTACGTGCTCGTTGGGCCAGCCACACTTTTGCCACGTGATCACGCTTTCTCGCGCATAGCCACGTGCAGAGAAAGAGGTCAGGTGATGAAAGAAAGGTGGCTGATTGGTTCAGCAAGCGCGTAGCTTTTATCACAATGTCAGCTTCGGGATGAAGGGATTAAGTGCGACGTTCGTTTGGGCCCAGTGATGCACTGCGGGGGCCGCGGATGTATCACAGTGAAAAGGCAGAGAGCTTACGAAGAGAAGGAGGTACAAAATAGTCCGCTGTTTTCAAATTTTCATACCGAAAGTCGGGCTTTTGACTTTCTACCTTTTTTTCTTTTGGCCCACTGAATAATGTGCTATTAGTAAAATCCCAATATAAATTGATTTATTCCAGCCCAAAATTTGTTGCATGAGCCCTTTAAAGGGCAACTCCACTTCCTTTTTGATATTTAGAAAACTATGTAGCCGTCTTCAGTATCATATAGGAAGACCCCATGTCAAATATTACGATCTAATTCCGTTTATATATTTAATAAACTGGCAAGCAAACCTTCAAGCGAGCCAAGTCGCCGAAATCTGCTAACTCTAGCGTGCGGCGCGAGGCGCAGTGAATGCCACGGAGATGGAGCGGCCAATGTTGAGCCTCTATGTCAGAGGCATGCATACGTCATTCTCACGTTTTGTTTGTTTTTACATCCCAGAGCGAAATTGAAAGACGACGTCATGAGTTTCTCCTTCCGGAGTTGGCTGACCGGGCGTTCACGTGATCACCGTAACACGGATGCGCTGCCCTGCGCACTTATCGGTCTGTTTCTCCGCTCCTTTTCTCCTCTTTCGTCTTCTCCCCTTCCCCCTGCCCCCGGGTCATCACCGTCCACGCCATGCAGAGCGACCTGCCCGCGTCCAATAAAAAAAATTTTAAAAAAAGACCTTGCTTGGTTTCTCGCTCCCTTCCGAACGTCACAAGACCACGTGGTTCAACGTGACGTGCCATGACTCTGACGACCCGAGACCAATGTTGCCCGACGCAACCGAAGTTTCGGTTTCGGTATCTGCTGATGTTTAACTTAGGATTACACAAAAAATATTCCACATTTCGCGAGTCCGAAGACGTAGAGTTGTTTAGTAGTGCTTTGTGAATGTGAATCACATGGAAGCCTAAATTTTTCGGAATTGAGCGGAGTTGCCCTTTAAAGAGCTGCACTTTGCGCATGCGCGCCTTTCGTGCTTGCAATTCCGCTTCTTTCGCTCGTTTCTTTCCGATGCACTTCTGATAACAGGAGTCGGCGCCAGGGGCGCAAGTTAGCGCTTCGCTGGCTGTCATGCTGCGCGTCTGCTTCAGCCGCCGCGCTTTGTGACGGAGCTTACCAACACTGGCAACTACTGGCACATTTATCACATGGGAATAAGAATCAGCCACACACATGGCAAATAGTCCTCAGTGGTACAAATCCTCATACCTTTCCACAGTCAGGGCCCAGCATTTGTGGGAGTTTTGGCAGTTATCACACGAGGGACGGCCAAAAAGACTGGGACTCCACTCTGGTTCTAGCACACACGACCCTAGCCATAATGCAACCTTCGTCGCATACAAGAAAGGCAGACGTGCCATCCATGTACAATTTCATGACCAGTTTGAGAATTCCAGCCGGCCAGATAGTGACACGTTCCAGCCGCCGAAAGATAGCGAAAGGAACTGGCTTGTATGTGTCAGTCAAGAGAGACAACAAAGGTTAGAAGATATGTTCTCAAATTCTCTAAAAGACACATTCACGATTCTCCAACTTAGCCTGGAACTGTGGCGAGCTCAAGTTCAAATCAACTGCCTCACCTAAAGTCAGAAGTGGGGTAGTTTAAAGGAGCTGAAGGGCGGCTAAAACACTCCAAATCGTGTCGATTACGAACCCCATCAAATCTGCATTCGTCTGAGCAGAGTGGGGACCGTTTTTCGGGAAGACTTCGCGGAAAACAAAGACGTCCCTCACCTTGATTGGATGAAGGAAGTGGAGGGTCACTTCGTGCGGCTTGGCGTCTACCCCACCGGTGCCTTTGAAGTGTAACGAGTCCGCGGTAAGGTCGATGGTGGGGTTTTTGCAGTCCTCCAGGGCAACTTTGAGGTAAACCGCGCTCTTACTTTGCGCCCATAGGACTGGCGGCGCGGGAAACCTGCGAAAGCGAAACCACGTCGGGTAGGAGTCTTAGGACGGAAAAGGTTACCTCCACATTTTTTCAACAAAGTGTGGACCGCACTCAAGTAATGGGAGGCCACAATCGCTGGCGCACCGGAGTATTCTGTAATCAAAGGGGTGGCTGATACATGAAGTTCCATGTACCGGCGTCTTATCTTCCGAACCGATGTCTAATTCTCCAAAATAAAATCGAAGTTAAAGTAATGAGGTTCAATGATAAGTTGATTTGGTTTTCTTAAACATCCCTTACATCGTGTTTGAAGAAATAAGTTGGCGGTTCACCCGTAGGTAGCACGAGTTCGGAAACAGGAGCAGAAAAAGAGGCGAGAGCTAGGCCTAGTTCATCAATCGTGTGCCATCGCTCAGCAGCGCGGCACGAAGCGAACCTTCTCGAACAAGGCGCAGGTGGAGCCACGAGACTCCGCGATCGTGTTTTTCGCTTCGACGAAACGACACACGAAACGCGGCGCTGGTGCTTTTTTTAATCGCAGCCAACGACGTGCTATTGAGTTGTGCGGACTTACGTTGTCGAGCCTGTTTCTCCTGTCATTTTTTACCTTGCAAACCACCACACTCGATCACACGGCAACTCCTGCTCGTAGGACTCGCGCACTACTGCTCATCCCCAACCGCGCAACCGGCCCGCAGAAAAGTACTAAAATATATTCGTAAAATAACTAAAATTAATAGCCATACATATTATCAATTTTAGATATTATTTTCAAATTACTTACGCGTATAATGTAAAAAACTGTATTATATTAACTTTTTCACTGCGGTATCGCTATGAGCAGACGCTACTTTTCTTTCTGCTACCCGACGGCTGCAGTCGGTCGTATGGCCCGCTTCAAAACGAAGCGACGAAGCGACGAAGCGTACCTGAAATCGCGCAAATGCTTTTAATTCCTGACGAGACACAGGCAATCGGATAACCATGACGTCGTTTCGAGACTCATTCTGGGTAAGCCTCGACATTTTATTTTATTTTTCTTCCTCTTTACTTTTTTCTGACATCTCTCATTCAACGTCCAGCGGAACCTTATCCGTCATATCTAATAACGCTGGTTTTTCCACATAACCGTCTAAGGTCTAGACAGCCCATAACTGCACAAGCAGCGCTAAATATTTGCTGCCACACCCTCGCCACACGGGCCGTTTTTCAAATTACGAGGTGCTCAAACGCGCATTATCCGGAGAACGGAAATGCTTTCCGCCGAACTCCCCCGAACGTCGGACCCAACATCGGGCGTCGCGGATGCAACGTCGTGCACTGTCGCGCGATCGCGGCGTTTGCGAGACAGCTGTTGGCGGTGTAGCTGTGTGTGCATAGCAGGCGCCAGCACGTCCCGTCAATTCCTGCCAACCTTGCCTTGCCGCACCTCCAACCGCCCGCACAAAAAACAAAAATATATGCTCTCCTCCGGTGCATTGCGCTCGTGACCCCTCGGCGTGCGTTCGTCATGAGCGTTCGCGGATTTCCGCGCTTCGGCCGAAAAACAACAACCGAAAAAACTGGTCTAGAAAGCGAACGTACGGTGGCTCCCGGCGATATGTAGCCCCCTTTCCCGCACTCTTTTCATCGAATTAGATCTATCGAGGCAGAATTGACATAGTTTAATCCGTGGCTCCGGAAAACGATGGGTGTAGGGATAACCGGTCAGCTTTTCTCTTCGCAGCCGCTGGTCGAGCCTGTGTGGCGGTCAACGGCTTTTATAGCTTTGGCGATAAAGGCCGCTGCCCCCAACGCGGTTGCGCGCGCGTGCCACTGATGCGCAAGAGCACGCGATTCTTTTTTTTTTTTTTTTTCATATTATGCGCGTGTTTTTACGATGCATAGCCGTATGTCCAAAACTTGTTCGCGTGGGCACTCTTGTTTGGCGTTGGCTGGGATTCGCGCCTACGCAGCAGCAATTTACAAGGTGTGTGTGAGTCGTTCCTGACATCATATCTGAGGTGTGGTACTAAACATCTCAAAAAAATTTTTTTTTTTCGCGTTACGAGCTTAGCATGACTAAGCAAGAAATTAGGTCGCAAGCTCGAGTTTCTTAATTTTTTTTTGTTCACACTAGATGACTTGCGCGGATTCTTTTTTATTTGGAGCGTTTCGTGCGGTCAGACCAAGAAATATCGTTTTCGACTGAGCTCGTTCCGGTCGCCTGATCATTTTTGTTTAATATTATATTATCTCGAAAGCGTGCGTTCGTGACAATCTCGGAGGTGGTCGACCCCTGCCGAATATTAAATTATACACACACGAATACGGACCGGCCGGTGGGGGGTCCTGAACGCCACTCCGGGGGGGCGGTCTGCGTTTGTACAATTTTATTCCGAGACACCGCTTCACTCCGACATGGACCGCAGCCGACGCTACGAGTCTTCCAAGCCAATCCCACGCGGCGAGAGCGTCACGTGCCCTTCTCGTCAAGCGCAGAAACGCGCGAAGAGCGACATCACGTTATTTGGTTCGAGCTCTGGATTGGTCTGCATGGCTTGTTGGCTCGGCTGCGGTCCATCTCGTTTTTTCACGGTGAGGCGGAGCGGGTAATTTGCCTTGGGGACTTCGACAAGCACCTCGAGCGCTCACGGCGCGCGATGTTGTCGGTACTGTGGCCTCGTGCGGTGACCTCGAGCGAGGAGGAGAGGGAGGGAAGCTCGAAAGAGCGGGAGTAGTCCGTTTGGGTTGGCCGATTCGCTGGATCGCGGAATCCGGCCGATTCACGAAGCGGCTACAGAAAGAAAAAAACAAACAATAACAAAATAACAGATCCCTGTCGCCTTATTTTATGAGGCTGTGCTCTATTTTCTTTTTCTTTTTTTTTTATTGTATTGGTTTCGCGAGGGCGCTGCATATTTTTGCCTCGTTTCTAGGGATTGTAGTCAAAACCGGATGCTTGATCAGCCCCTAATGTCGGTCATACTAGGTGAAACAAACTAATATAAAGGCCAAAAAAAAAGGAAGAAAAAAAAGTGGGTGGGGTAGAATTAAGACGGCTATCATACAACATTAAATTGGAATTAGGTGATACAGATGGTCCCATCGAGCCACTGGCATGGACGGTGTGTACACTACCAGTGCATAATTTGCTAAGAAGTCTTACAATTAAACTTTGCATAATATGAAATAAACATTTTTATCAATAAGACGTGTGCTTTAATTAATTGTAAAGAGAAAAAGAAAGTATTTTGTCTATGTCAACTATCTTTGCGACTTCTCATTCTTGTTTGCAGACACGACACAGACGCAACACCACCGAATGTTATTAAAGAGGCATAGTTATTACGATCGAACCTCCTCATTCGATGAAATATTACATAAGTGGACTGTACGCAGACAGCTTGTATCCTCCTTACCTGCATTCCATTTATGCAGATCGGTCCTGCTTTTTCTCAATATTTCACTGACAATTTTTTTTTTTTTTTTTTTTATGAATGGTTGGATTTTTGTTGCTATGGTGACAAGTTTATCCTGCTGCTCTTGCAGCTTACACTGCCATCCTAAACCTGGCTTAGGATTGTCACAAACTCACACTTGGCCATGGTTACTCAGAAAAACTCACATGGTTCTTCTCGCGTGTTTGTACGTTCTATAATTATTTTCCTCGGATCAAAATATTCTCCCACCTCCTCGGTTGGCAGAGCAAATAGAGCTCATCTGTATCTCATCAATATTCTATATATGTTTGGTGTCTAAAATTCACGAGACATTCAGTGATATGATTGGTCTGGGTCATTCTGGGGAACCCTTTGGAGCAGCAAAAAGTGCTTTTGGGAAGCACACATTTAATTTTCATTCATACCAGGGCAAATGTTGTGTCAAGATGTGTGTGTTTGTCTACTTTGCTTTCCTGCTTCTGTGCAACCTTTTGATAGCATCAACAGCATGACAGGCTTGATTACCTAGCTAGCAATTTCCTTGCACGTAAAAGCACAGTAACAAGATGCTGATCAATAAAAAGCAGTGCAAACTGCTGTGCGTGGTTATTTGAGGTACGAAATCTAACATAATATAAGTAGTATATTCCTCTGAAATTGCGTTAGAATATAACAATTTTGAGCATCCAATTGATGCTTTCTTCAAGCTATAAAGGCTAATAAAACTACAGTTCCTAATTTAGACAGAAAAACAAAGCTTTTATCATCTGATTATGAATATCAATGACATTTTATAAGCACTTCGTAATAACAAAAATCGGCATGTAGACAATGAGTATCCCTCCTAAAAAAATAAATCCCACCAAACTTGTTTAGGTTATTTCCAGGCTTGCATTTACTGCTCCATCTAATTTAGTATTAATTTACTGTATTCACTGTGCCATCGAATGGGTGGAAGCTATATACAGCTGTAATAACTAAACACAAATTGATATTAGCCCCCAAAAAAACAAAAACAAAAAAACAACAACATAAAGAGCAGTCCACAAATGTTTTCTCGCAACGCTCAAGTATCCTTGATGATTCTTGAATGTCAAAAATATGTTTTCAGAATATCGCATCCATCATATACAGTATTAGCCCCGAGAGCGAACACAAGCGTCGCTGCGGTCGCCGCGCCCTGATTGGGTGAGGCGTACCGTGACGTCAGGGGGAGTACTCCGCTCCGCGATCTCGCATCGGCTCGCTTCCCAGCACCGGTTTCCTGGTTTGGCGTTGTGTGCCGCAAGCTCTTCGAGGAGCTGGACTTCGTTTACCCGGTCTACAAGACGTTGAGTTAGGCCGATATTGAAGTGCTTCCGTACATTTTATAAGCCTGCTCGTCCCTTTTACCTTTAAAATTGGGTTACAAATCCCGAAAGCTATCGGCGGAGGCCATTCCGCCGATGAACCTCCCCGCCCGTCCACACGACACAAGCAATTTTACGAAGGATCGCTGGAGCGGTGGCGCAAGTGTTTCAGACGCTGGAATTCTGTCCCTTGCATGTTCATGATTTAGGACGATATTACATCCCGCTTTAAGGCATTTGAAGTGGCATTTATATCATGGGCCTTTGGATGGTCGGCAAATTAGCTCGCGACCCCGACTTTGCGCTGCCACTCTGCATGTGCTGGTTCGCAGATGTTTTAAAGGCCCTCTCTGATTATCTTTGAAGTGCTCATGGAACAGGGTTGTTTTACATAAATGTAGCTTCTTCGTAAATTAATTACTGTAAACGAATTAATTTTCGCGGGTTCAAATTTTCGCGAACTGGGCCAAAGCTGTAAATTTGAAATTATTCGCGGGTTCTAATTTTCGCGAATCGAGTGTAGCTTCCGTGGCGTTCACATATTGCCCGAATTGTTCGCGGGACGTATTTTTCGCGAATTGGAGGTGATTCGCGAAAATTAGGCCCCCTCGAAAATGTAGTCGTTTAAAGTATATAGTTTATATACGTACGCAGGCATATTAATTATGCACCATTACTGGAAATTAGTTTGTACGGTTGCAGCCAAAAACGGCCGAATTGCCCGCAATTGCCTGTATGATATGTATTGAACTGCCCAAAATATGCACAGCAATAGTGCCGTAATTTGGAATGTTTATACTTATTCCTGACATTCTTTATTCCAGCCTTGGGTATTCGGAAAATACACCGTTTAGTCTGAATTGTCATTTACAATTAAAAGAGACACTGCTGCAGGTCTCGAAAAGCTTCCTCAGCCTCCAAACTCCCTACAGCTGGACTGTCTGACAACAGAGGAAAACAGGAGTAAAAGCAAGCATTCGAACGTCTGTCCAGTGGTAGTTGCAGCACTATTAGCACAAAATGTGGAACCTGTGAAGGGCGACAGTCTGCGTGAGAAAAGCTTCTGGTATTTTAGCTTCAGGGACAATTCGATTTAAATAAGATCTCAATTTTAGGGCTTAACGGACTAATAACGAGCTAGACACCTTCACTTACGTTTGTTATACATTACTTGAGGGTTGATATAAACGAGTCCACAGATATCACCTGTGTAGTCCATTGAAATACTATCCGAATCCAGCAAAGGTCAAATGCGAGCAATTTATATAATGTTCCTTGTTTTTTTACTTTGCCCCTGCACTTGGGCTGTCTTACTTGTGATTCTCTCCCCATGGCCCAGACTGTATTTAGCATGTTGCCCGAGTAGCATGCCGCTTTTATGCTTCGGCGATCTTGTTTAAAAACGGAGATACAAAACAAAAAATAGTATACATAACCTGCCAATTCATTCAGACCATCAGCGGCATTTACTTTGCGAGATGTAAATCTATAGTGATGCTCCTGCAATTGTGGTCATATTTCTTTATTTTCATATACCAGCTGCGATTCATGCGTTGCCTGCCCTGTCGACCATGCTTAAAATGTTGGTTGAAGTTTCGTATGTAGCTACAGGCCATACCTCAATAAAGGCACATAAAAAAAATTACACTTCCTACGAAAAACTCGCCGAAAAAAAATTAAATAGAAACGAGCGCGCCGACAGCTGGCGTCGTCACAGCCTCCACAGGGCGAGCGGGGCGAGCCGGGGAAAAATTCTCTCCTCGCCGTGACGTCACCCCGGTTTGCCGTAAGGGGGCGCCACGCGAACTTCTCGGGGCTAATACAGCCGCAGTCATATTGAGTAACTGTGTGTAGCGTCTTCGCTCTGGAGAAGTGATTTCCCCTTAGCACACGGCTGCACTGCGGCAAAGCAAGAAATGCAAAATTGCAGCGCGTACTACGCGGTTGTCACTTCACTGCAGTAAACCACCGCACGATGACATGTGCGCTCAACGATACTATAGCCAGCCATCCAGCCAGAACAGACAATGAGCATGAGAAATGTTGTGAAACTTCCGAATTCTGTTAATGTTTGATACAGATATCAGATAGAATATGATTTTATTTGAGGCGATAATCAAGTTTTGGAAATTCGCACAAGCCTACCGTTATGATTAGGCCTTTAGCGAAGCTTGATTGTTAATAAAGTGAAAATAAGTTTGGGCGCAATGTTGGTGCAAATTCCTTGTATTTTGGCAAATAGCAGGTTGTAGCAGGGTAAGCGCTCTGGTGAAGTTTGGCGGAAATGGCGCTGCAATCACATCACTGGAGATCTGATGAACAATTAACTCCAACCTCAAGTTAATTTAAAAACAGTCGCTGATTGCAAATTCTCACCTTAGAATATATACATAACAAGGTCAGCCTGCTTACATATGATGCATTTCTTTTTCCTCTAATGATCGCATCAGCATTTCAAGCAGCAAAACTTGCTTTTATACGCTAAACTGAAGTACCCTACTTCATTCTACAAAATATACTGGGGCACTCACATATATGCGTCAAGTATCATGTTCGCATGGAATGATCATTTTGTGCAAGATGCATACAGTGCTTCGAAGTGGACAGCAGGCGACAAGATGTTTTGGTGGCGCCACCTCGCGGGCGCCCTCCTGTGACGCAGATGGTAGGATGCGAGCAGACGACGCGCTAGGTCAGAGCACCGAGTGGCTATGTTAGTTCGCATCTATGCCAATTAAGAACGGTTTATTTATTAAATAAACGAGTATAACGTTCTTGTGAGTGATATTTCTAATGAATGACAGCACCTCGAAGTTGCTTTTTACATTAGAAAATATTTAAAATGTCCAAAAACAAACCTGGAGCATCCCATTATAGCTTGCGCAGCGTGAGTCGGGGCTCTTCACAGTTTCCCTTATTGTTTTTCCAGATCTGTGGAGGCTGCTGTAGAAAAAGGTCTTGACCAGATTAAATGACATGCTGTCTTCTTAGCTGTGCACGCGCACACAGTTGTGTTGCAAAGCCCCACGCACCCTTGTTTTCGCTACATTGAGCTTGCCGATACCAACGCTTCTATCAAAGTGTGACGCGACAGTTGCTGCCGAGCAAATGCTCGTCAGCAACTGATGCTTAGCTCCTCCCGAGTGGAAAACGTGGCAAAGAAAGTTGTCACATCGTGACTTCTGCTTGAAAGAAAAACATAACTTTTCATTAATTCTTAAATTGTCGGCCATGGCTCGGCAAACTCAGGCGATTGATTAATTTGTTCCATTTTATTTTTACTAAGAATTGTTTACAAATTTAAAATCGCTCGCTGAGAAGCGCATCACGCATTAGGCGCATTTGGGTTCGCAAATGTTAAACATAAAAACGGTAGTACTTCGATCGGAAAGGGGTCTTGCATGTTTCGCGTCAGCGGCCACCGCTTCCTGCCAGTTATTTTAAGGAAATGTTTGTTTACTGGTTTACAAAATTAAAAAACCGAGGCAACTCGGAACTCAGCACTCACAGAGCAGATTAGAAACAACAGGATACACGGAGTTACATTCACAGAACTGTTCACTACACATGCGAGGGCTTCTCGAATTTCTCTTTCCTATTTTCAATTTGATGCATTCCTTTCTTAGTTTTATCTTGTACGAATCATAATATATGATACACCCTATCCGCCGTGGTAGATGTTGTAGCGGGATAAAGCGCTGGGTATTCTATTTTCAACATCCAGCTTGTAGTACTGGATTAGAGAACAGCACAACACCATCCGAGCGTTTAGGCACCTCATGCCATAAGTGCTGTTTGTGCTTGTTTACGCGACTACGCGTGCCACGTGTGGTTTCAAAAATGTTCTACTACAAATATCACTTCACCAAATAAACACAATGCGTGAACAGGCTTTGCCGCATGTTAATCAAACAGCGCATGAAGCGCTTTCTCTACCAGTCTGTCCTACCCGTGACGTCACAAACGATGATGATAAGAGCTAGAGAAGCGCCCCCTGTAGTTCGCAGACGCACGATTGCAAATATGTCGTCCCGGTTGGTGCCCCATGCGTGCAAGCCTGTGCATGATGCGCGATGCACATGAAAACAACTTTTCCAGGCTTGCGATTGCGCGGAGTCGCCACCATGACCGGCGCCTAGATGCCGCTTGCTAACATACATTGCTCATGGGAACGCAGGAATTGGTGTTCCACATGCCGCACAGGCTGGCCTCAATAGTAGTAACTTTTCACGCGCGTGCGTCAATGCTTTATTTTAATTATTTACTTTGAATATTTTATACGAGGAAAATGTGCGCGTGTGGCGGCGCGTGGCACACCAATCCCTGCATTCTCCTTGATGCCTGGGTAATATTCTCTTTTTCACAACAAAATTAAGAAAGAAGAGCTGTACAAAGGTTCGTTGTTTTCTGGGATAGAAATGGTGATAGCTGGTCTTGGAATATTTTCAGCTTCTTTCTGCTGATATAATTTGCTTCCACATACAGTAATTCACGACCAACCCTTGTATACAGGGACCAACAGGGTTCGAGGAGCTTCGGCGTCTGCTTAAGCAGGGGGCGGACTTTTCCAAGGAGGTTGCTGGGGTACTACAAGAACGGTGAGTCGGCAAAAGAACATGGTATTTTGAAAATGCTAAAACATACATAAAAAAAAAAGAAAATTGCCGCATATTTTTCCAATCAATCACGTTTGAGTTGCCATATGCCCAAGCCACTTCGTTGCCAGGGTGTTCATTACTAGGGAAAATAAATCTATTTAAATCTGAAACCATATAGTTATTAGTAATCAAAACAAAAAGCCCCCCCCCCCCCCCCCCCCCCTTTTTTTTTGTTGCAAAAATGTTTTGAATTTTGTTAGCGGAGCTGGCTAAAATCCAATGTCTTGGGATCGAAAATGACAAACGAGAAACAAATGAAAGAAGCCCTTGGGAATACTCTGTTTGTGTCTGTTCTCCATTTCGGGTTTAAAAGTCAAAAACTGTTCAGCAGGGTGGTCAAAGTCAGATTTGGCACGCTTATACCATATTCAGTTTTGTCTGAGCAGAAGGTGGAAGAGCATCGATGGCAATCAGTTCATCGAACAACGTTTTATCGACAGGTCAGATTAGCTGTTTTCTGTGATAAGCTGCATGAGACGGTCGCCGCGAAGCGGTGTGTACGGGTTGGTCAGGCAGGTTAACATTTTTGTAATGAGTTGTGCCAACCGTGGGGTGGGGTGCATTTTCCGTAACAAGCGTCTATGAAACAATCTTGTCGATGAGACTTGTGCCCAGGAAAAGCTGTCCACGAAACATAATTCCACAAAATGATGGAGACCCGAAGAACATCCTTTCTACAAAAAAACAGGACTAATTAGAATGAAAAAAAGTGAAAGCCATTTACAACTGCCTGTAACGCCGAATTAGAGCGCAGCTCTTGAGGAGGAGGGGGGAAGGGTACTGAGGGGAGGCTATACACCTTCTCCTCCTCCTCCCCTCATTCTTCAATCTCCCCAGGGGGGGTCACCTGACCTCAGGAGGGGGGGGTCACGTGACTTGGGGGTCGGGGGTCGGTCACGTGACCCCCTCTCCCCGAGGTCACTGAAGGTACCCGAGGTTCTCCCAAAGGAACCCGAGGTTCTCCCGAAGGAACCCGAGGTTCTCCCAAAGGAACCCGAGGTTCTCCCAAAGGAACCCGAGGTTCTCCCAAAGGAACCCGAGGTTCTCCCAAAGGAACCAGAGGTTCTCCCAAAGGAACCCGAGGTCCTCCCGAAGGAACCCGAGGTCCTTCCGAGGTCCTCCCAAAGGAACCCGAAGTCCTCCCGAGGTCCTTTTGAAGGAACTCGAGGTCCTTCGGGAGGACCACGGGTGCCTCCGGGAAAATTTACCCATAATGCACCGCGCGGTTACGCCGACGGCGACGCCGCTCAAGCCGGAGACGGCAGCCTAAAAGCTGCGCTCTAAAAAAAAAAAAAAAAAAAAATGAAATTCATGGAGTTACATATATTTGTTTTCGCAAGAAATATATATTTTCGCAATATATATATATATTTAAATGAAGTAAAATATCAATATATATCTATAGTTAAAATGGATGTTTATTTTTTTCTTTAGAGGTTGTCTACTTGCCTCGGTGGTTACTGTGTTGTCCCTAAAGATGCATTGAGATGTCTCACAATTTTTCTTCTTTTATCTGAAGTGAAAATTTGAAATTGCAGGTCTGAGTTAGAGGCGTCCCACGCCAAGGGCCTGGCCAAGCTCTCCCAGCGACTGTCCAGAGCAGCTAGGGATGCCATAGGGTGCGTGTTGCACGGCAGTGCCACTTTATACATGCTTCCACACCACATGTATCTCTTGGCTATGTTCTTATTATTGGGATCCAGATTTTATCCCGTCATGTTATAGCTATAGTACTAATTATAACGTGCGAATTCATTCTTTGACTTTTATTTGCTTATTTGTATGATTTATGCCAATTTCTGTGTACTACACTGCTTGTGTATCTCTTTTTTTCACAGTGTAGTATAGTACACCTCCCACAATATTGCCCTATGGAGAAAGTGTAGGAATATGAATAAAAAAATGAGATAAATACAAAAAATGGGCCCCCGTTTCAGCTTATATAATATAGTCTACTAATGTGAGAAACACGTTTGCGTGACAGGAAAGTTTGTTTGGATGGGACCTGGTTGCAATGTTTTCCACAAACTCAAGCTTGACCTGCAGAAAGCGTGAATCATATGTAGCGCAGCTGTTTTTCGTCCGGAGGATAGGGAAGTCAAAACATCCCTCTAGGGAGGGGAACAAATAATGGATCCTGTTTGTGGTGGACTATAGTTTTGTGAATAGAATGAGTGAACTTGCGATTGACACGGCAAAATTTGTGTCGGCAGAAGTACAGCTGGAGCATGGCAGGAAGTGGCCACTCAACTCGACAAAGAAGCGCAGCTACACAGGTGAGTGCACTGCATGCAGCAGTCGCACAAAACAGCATTTGAGTTAAAAGTTGCGTGTAAAATGCAACTTTTAGTTTTGTAGTCTTGTAAAGAAGTTTTATGCCAAGACGTGCACAATGAATAAAAAGACAAGCGTGACGTCTTGCACGATGGGACAAGTGATCAATATGGGTCAATTTGCAGTCTTATGTTTCACAAGGGTGAGCACTGTGCTTTATGTAGGGTGACCACCTTCCTGCTAGTGAAATTCAGGACACGCTGACCACGGAAAGGAGTGAGTGGGGGGGGGTGTTGTAAGAGAAGAACGGTATTATATATCACGACTGCGGTAACTGCAAAAAAGAACCACTAGAAGACATTTACCAACATGCACATCACGAAATGGGGCTCTGCTAACATATTCAATATCCTGCCTTGTCCGAAAGCTTAAAATGCAAAGTGTATTGCGGCAATCAAGCCGAAATCATTTTCACTTCCAGTGATATATTTGTTAACTTTAATGCCAAATATGTTATTATATCGGTCCAAGTTGAAAACATGAAATCGACTGCAGCAGGATTTGACGCATCAGAAGGAAAAAGAAGAGACAGTAAATCTTTTTTCGGCTTCTTGTTTCCCGTCGATGCTTACTTTTACCGACGTACCTCTACACCAATTTAGAACCTTCTGTGTTCTTGCACCGTTGTGAGTTTTGCCTTGAGTGGTGGTCTTCACTAAAAAATGCTTTCCGCAGCAACCTTTTCACATTGAGGCAGCACAATTTGAAAACAATTACAATAATTTATTTTTCAGCTTTTGATGAGCAATTTTCTTTCGTAATATTTTGCCACCAAGGGGACAGGGGCACAACGTTGCGTGCGTGTTAGATCTCCTGCAAAACTAACGATCGCTTCCCGCAATGCTTGGATAAAAAATGGCATACCATCGCGATTCACACGATTATACCGGCGACCTGCGTGTTTCGCCGTGCCCCGTTGTTCGAAAGCCCCACGAGTTGCATAGTGAATTTTATGACAGCGTGAAACTCGGGACATTTTGAAGGTTTCTGTATCTCCTGTAGCTCTTATGCAAAGTCTTATAGTTTCAATGTCATCAGCAACTTATTTGCAAGTTGCTGATGACATGAAATCAACTTATATATGCAAGTTGCTGATGACATAAAAACGCCAACTTATTTGGTCTCAGAGCAGCTGTCACCTTGTAACATGTTTGTTCATTTTTACATACTACACACACCGCCCAGGCACTAATTATGAGGATTTTCGACCATATTTTTTTCATGTTAGTCATAAGAGACATTGTAAGCATGTTCCCTTAGCCTGTCGACAGGCTAAGGGAACATGCTTACAACGTCTCTTGGACGGTTTCCGGTCACCTCGGCACACATTGCCGTGACTGCAGATGCCAGCCTCAATTCCAACAGTGCGAGGTCTTAAAACGCCACCGGGACCAGCTGACACGTGAAATTTTGGAGGATCTGGAAATAGACAGATTGGGTGTCATGTGTGTCAGCAGGCCTTCTGTTGCATTATCTAGGAAGGAGATTGATTTTCTGGCCACTTGATTAGCTTGGTTTATCTTTTTTGACGTGATGCTTCGTTTTTGTGCTTTTGCTTTTGGGTGTTTTTCAGGCTGATTTTCTTCGTTTTGTTCTCAATTGTGCATATATATTGCACCGTTGAGTCCAATAAAAATATAGTTGCGAGTCAGCGCTCTGTCTGCGTCCTTCTTTACCCTGTCCGTTGTCTTTTGCGCTGTTTTAACCTTTTAAGTAAAAAATAGAATATGCCAATGATTTGTTCCGTGCTGGAGCAAGCCCGGGTACTGGAGCGAGCTTCCAAAGCATTCATTTGACACTATGAAACTGCTTCGAATCAGTTGGGAACAATTTTTACAGTCCAGAGAGTGAACCCCTGCCTCCACTGATGTCCCCTTTTCGTTGTTGCCAGCAGTGACTTCCATTTTGAAAAACACTGTGAGGACCGAAACTGTAAACTCAATAACTTCGGGAGAAAACAATATTTTGACCTAATAGTCGGGATATTACTTTAGCGACGTTTGTTAGTGAGTTTAGCAAAATTTCAAGCAAATCGAAGACAATAAAACAAACCTGCGGAGTACCCCCTTAAAGACCCTGGGCTAGCAATGGTACTCCACTGGTTGAATTTCTCATCTGCAGCATAAACCAGTGTCACCATACCTCAACGGCAGACAGGTGTCGCACTGCAGTCTAAACACGAACGTCTAATTCGTTTGTGTTTCTCCTTGCAAAAAATGGCGGGTGGACTCGCATAACAGATGCAGCATGCTACTAGATGGCGTGCACTTTTGCAAAGGGTCCGTCGTCCCCCGCAGGGCGCTGTCCCGGGGCCTGTCCGAGGCGGTGGCCTGCCCCCTGCGCAGCTCGTGGGAGGCCCAGAGCAGTCGGCGCAAGGCCCTCGAGTCCGGGGTGGAGCGGCGGCTGCGGCAGCTGCGGGAGCACCGAGCGGCGCAGGAGCGGGCCAAGCGGTGTGCCCATGCCTGCGCCCGGCACAACGAGCAGGCCCAGGACCTGGCACTGGACCCCAAGGGGTCCAGTAGGGGGCGCCTGCTTACCGACAGGGATCTCGCCAAGGTGATTCCCGGAGGAAGTTTGGATAATTGAAACGCTGTTGGATCATTAGCGCCTTCTCTCGGGATGTCGGCATGTGGACATACTGTAGACGACTTTCTGTCGCGAATTTCATGACTTGAAAAATATTGTGAAAATGAATCTCGCTGGTATATCGGCTCATGGTAACGAACGAGCAGAGCAGCACATCGCTGTAAGTTGCGCTATTTTGTGCCCACGAAGTATTCCCAGAATTTGCATTTTTCAGAACGTTGAGCCCGTGAAAACGGTAATCCAGGGTATTGGTTTGTTGACATATTGTCCTGTTCACATATCGGTATGTTGTCCTGTCGTCATGTTGGTCCATCGGTAGAGGTGTGCGAGTATTCAAAACTTCAAATAATTCACGAATAGTGTTTGCTATTCAATTCGATTTGCCGCACACTTCGGTCGTTTTAAGCAACCGAGTTTTTCGAACATCCATAAATGGGGAATAATCCACTGAGCAATCCACTTATAACGATAATGAGAAAACCTGAAAATTCAATCGTTCTAACCAATTATCGTTGTAACTGGACTAGAAACTGACCGTTTATAGTTTAGAAACTCTAGAAACTGATCATTGTAAGAAGTACTTCCTTATGTCTGGTATTGTTATAAGTGATTTGCAATTCCATAGTCCCAAATTTATTGTGGCAGGCTTCGCCGCTTTGCACCAACACTCATGTGTCACGCTTTACTTCAAACCGGTGCATCCTCATCAAGCTTTGAACCGGCGTGCTGGAGAAACGGCAAATGTTTTTTTTTGGGGCTCAGTAATTTTGATCACTATTGGAGGTCATTTTTCCTTGAATATGATTATAGTTTGACCCCCAATTTTAAGGGGCCCTGCAATCATACTTAAGCGTCTATCCTTTTTGTGTTTTCCACGTCTCTTGGGGTTCAGGCAAGCCAGCGGGCGCGGAGAAAGTAGAGCCGTATATGGGGAGAGTTTGGTCAGTCTATGATCTCGCCGCCGTAACGCTCTCCTCCCGAGTGAGCCAATCAGCACGCGGCGCAGAGCGAGAGGAATGAGCGCATGTGCGTGAACTCCCGGCTGCTCCCAGCTGAGTGGGGAGGGCCGCCATTTTCGTTCATTCTCCGGGCAGAATGCATGGGATCGGTATCTAAATCTCGATTATTTCCTTTTATATCGCTGGCTCTGGCAAGAAAATGATTTACTGTTATTCCTCGGTGGGTTGAAAAGCTAATAAATTAAGTGTTCTCGACGTATTAGCCACAAACCTTCATTCAGGCGAAAAAGAAGTCGGCCCACAGCAGACGACGCGTAGCCTCAGCAGTGCTGTTCTCCGACTAGGCTCCGACAGCGTTGCGAAAAAATGGCGGTCGTCTCTTCTCTGCTCCCCTCTTTCTCTCTCGCTCCTTCGGCGCTCTCCTACCTTTCATTTACTTTTCTCCCCTCCGGCGCCTTCGTCGCCACACCCACTGGCCAAACTCTCCCAATATATGGCTCTGGGAGAGAGTAACTAAATATCAGTAAGTCGTATTTTAACCGGACGACGCGGAAACCTCCTTCACCTACGAGGGCGACCCGCATTGCCGAAAGCGAGCGATATGTGATGTCTTAGGTTCTGGCCTTACTACTAATTAGAGCAGCTAAAAGCTTTTTTTTTTTTTTAGTCGAGATACAAAATATAAGTGTCGCGAACCGTTTCAATTATGTATGAAAGTAGTTTTTGTTCAGTATTTTAGTTCGGAAAAGAAACAAATGCATTTTATAAAGTACGGAAACAAGAAATGACCTGTCGACATACCCGCCACCAAGCGGCAGAAAAAATGGCGCATACTAGAAGGGGCTAGTGGGATGAGGCGCCGACGAACGGCGAGCGTAGAAAGGTCCCGGGTGTATGCGGCGGTGCTGCGGTCGTATACCGGCTCGAGAATCCGACCGGTTCCGAGCGTTCCGAAGGCCTTCTGCGCGGGCCCTGCTGGCGATTTGGCCATTTGGCGGTAAGGCAGCCCGAAGTAGCTCCCGTTCTGAACTGATCTTTACCCCGTGTTTGCTGTTGTTTGTGGCCAATGAAGTGTTATGCCGAAATAGTCCTTAATCGCGCAGCAAATGCAATGCGAGCCGCCCCGGCCGCCCGCTTAGCTCCTATCCAACTCATGCTTTAGTGGCGCCCTCTCGAGCCGTCGACACGAAGTGAGACAGCCGTGAGCGCTCAATGAGCTCACTACCCCTCCTCTAGTTCACGGCCACTCAAGCCAGGACCTACGACGTCATGAAGCACATCATTTTTTGCTTATTTTTGTAAATCTAATTTGCCTATAACTTTTAAAATAAAGCGAAATTTGAGAAAAGAAAAGTTTCATTAAGTTATTACGTTCAGTGCGCTCAGCTTTGGGGCAAATTAAAAACCAGTCAAAACGTTGTTGCAGGGCCCCTTTAAGGATAGCACCAAAAGGAATACCTAACCAAATAGCTTCTATGTTTAAATAAATAAGGTAGTCTTAATGAAAAAATAGTCAGAGTGCAGGCGAGCTGGTGTAAGTTAAACATGATTGTAAACCTGAGACTGGGGCAGAAAAGGGAACACAACAGAAGGTAGAAAAAGAGGAGGCAACGTCTCAATTGAGACGTTGCCTCCTCTTTTTCTACCTTCTGTTGTGTTCTCTTTTCTGCCCCAGTCTCAGGTTTACAATCATGTTCAAGGTAGTCTTGCTTTACTAGCCACGTTTGTGTTCGATAAATGCTTCAAAATTAACTGAGATAAATGCTTCAAAATTAACTGAGACGTTTGTATTTTTCAAAGTTTTGACAGCAGCAGGGTAGTCCGTTGAGCGTGTTTCTTGCTGGGCACCGATGGACTGCAGAGAAACAACACTTGCAGAGAAGCAACAGCTGCGGGAGCAAGCTCCGCGGATGTTGCTTCTCCAATGTGGAATGTTGCTCTGTAAGAAGCGCACTCAACAGAGTAACTTGCTGCAATCGACACTTGGAAGAGTATGAATGTCGCAATTGGGTGCTTGGGAGAAAAGCACACTTTCAAAGTGGGATGGTGCAAGCCTGGTGTATGTACAAAGAAATAAAAAGTTTATGGATGTTAATATCTACATTGCACAAAAATTTTCAAAATTAAACTGTGGTTGTTATGCAAGAGTATGTGTTGGGCAGAGGTGCCCTGACAACCTGTGCTCATCATTCACACTTTTTTTTTCTTCCAAATTTGAGATTGAAGAAAGAATGTTTGCACATAGCAAGGTTTGTAAATCCACTCAATTGGGTATAGCTGGGCATTTCTATATGTTTCATTTTATGTCAAATTCGTTGTTTACTTGCCATCCGATGGCATCAAAAGTTTTTGAGGTCACAGTGCATAAATATACTTGGATTAAAGTTAGCTTATAAATGGACAACTGGAAGCTTGGGAACAACTTTCACGAGTTCGACTGGGTTTTTGTTTAGGCGTGGTGCAACAGTAGGGAAAGGCTTGGAGAAACTATTCAATAGTTGATTAGAAAATATTTGGCCAAAACCACTACCGTAAAATCCCGAGAGATGGCCCATCCAAAATCGTGAGAAAATTAGGAGTGGGCTAACTTTCGGTGTGCAGTCAAGAAAAGTTGAAAAAAGGCTGTTTATAAATCGTCTGTCTCTGTCAAACTTGTTATCGCGTCGAGGGGCAAGGAAACGAAGATAGTGGCACTTCCCAGTCAGAAATGTTTGCTTATATCCCGCCATTACTAACTACCGTATTTACACGAATGTAGGTCGACCCTTTTTTCAACTTTTGAAAATCTGAAGTGGGGGGGTCGACTTATAATCGAACCAAAACATTTCACCGCCGGCAAAAACGAAACAATCGCGATATCATGGACACCTCGGCTTGTTACAAGTTCAGCCGGCTGTACCCCTAGCATTACACTGTTTTGTGCACTCATTTTACAAATTGATTATTTTTTATTTGCTCAAACGAGTATTATTGGTAGCAATTCGCAACTTAACCCGAATGCACGGCGGTGAACAGGGCACGGAGTGCTCGACTCCTGGGGGGTTACGGCACTTCTCGTAAGAGCCACTCCGGAGGCCGCTGGAACAGCCTCACGCCTCGCTTGGCTCGCTCACCCCGCGGCGCCGCAACCTCTCTGCGCAGTTTTTCACACAATTCATGGTCGCACATCGTTTGATCGAGTGCGAGATCATGCTGGTGCGCTAACTGCGCTAACTATGTACATTTGTATTGAAACGCGTGATCCGGACAGTTTAGGTCTCCGGAGCTCGTTTATGGCCATTCACTCAGAAGCAACCAACTGCGCTGTTGGATGCAAGTTCGACCCGTTGGAGTGGGTGATGCTCCAGTGGAGTCTGCGGTGGCGCGGAATCTTAAAGTGTGACGGCAAACGAAGAAGCTTCCGCAGGCCAAAGTCTGGATATGTGCGGATACCTTCCGGAGTTGGAGGTCAGGCTTGCAACGTACGCCGCAAACGTGCGCAATCGGTCGCTACCCGTGACGTCCGACGCGATCGCCAAGGAGCGCGGAAGATGCGGTTGATCCTGTCATTTGCAAAGTGCGAGATTTCATTGGACGACGCCGACGAGGTGCTTCGAGAACGTAGCAGTGGTGACAACGGGACTGACATCACCAGTGCGGACGAGTCGTAGTCTAGACGCGGATGGAGAGAGAACGAAAGTGAGCAGCTTCAGTTGTCCCGCCTCCAGCGTGAACTTCCTAGTTCCGATAACGCCTGGCCATCTCATGCACCTCGCACGTGCATGCGCAGCCAAAGCACGCCAGAAGGCATCGATCGCGTGTTTGAGGCTCGGCTTCCGAAACAGATAGTTTGCCGTTCTCACGTGTTTGCAATAAAATGCTCATCTAAAAAAAAAAAAAAAAAAAAAAAAATTTTTTTTTTTTGATGTGCGATGTGGTGGGGTTGACTTACAATCAAGTCGACCTACAATCGTGTAAACACGGTAGCTGCATTTACACCAAAGTCATCATTGATCCGAACACTACGATTACTAGGAGTGGGCTATCTTTCGGTTTTAAAAGAAAATAGCAAATCAAGCCAAAAATAGGGGTGGGTTACCTTCGGGGGTGGGACATCTCGGGGGATTTTATGGTAGTCTCACATGAACAGTAAATAGCAAAATAATGCCTGGGTGCTCCCGTGTGGAAGACTGTTCAACCAGAGGAAATTAAAGAGAAGTAATAAAAATGTAACTGTCATAAAATGTCGGGGATAAAGCATCCTCATATGAAACATTTTTCGCGGGCTGAATATTTCGCGATTTAAGTTAAAGTAGAAGTTTTGGAATAATCCACAGGTTGTAATTTTCGCGACGCGGTGGGATCTTAATATAAATTTTAATGTGTTTAGATTTTACCTACATTGTCCGCGGGACCTATTTTTGCAAATTATACACAAACTCGTCTCTGCTACGTCACGGCGCGGTGGTGGCGTGTCGGGTGCACTTCCGGTCTGGGGCTGTGGGCAGAAGCCATCATGGGGCACTTGCATTCCTGTGTTACTTTGGAAGAAACCGCACAAAAACCTGCCTTCTCGTCAAAATGCCGTGACTGGGGCTGTACCAAAAGAGTTGTAAAAGGTTTGAAGGTCAGTTTTCATGTGTTTTCTGCCTGCTCGGTTCGTCCGAAAACGTGAATAGGGGCCGTGAAAAAGGAAAAACAGATGCCGTCAGACCACGATTGCTTGGGCGGGAAGCACTATGGATTGAATTCACGGATACTTGTAGTCGTCAGATTTATTTGTTTTGTTCCAACATGAATGCGGGAAAACCGTCAAGTTGCACGGACCACCTGCGGGCTACGTTCAGTGCGTCACCTTGTTCAAACGACCGCCTCATCGTTCGAGCTGTCGTCTGCTCGTTCAAACGACAGCGGCCTGTAGACCAAACGTTGACTCGGTAATTGCGATAACAAGCGCAGACCTCAAAATACGTTTAAGATTGAAGGCTGCTTCGGGTAGGTAGGCTCGGTGCAAACAGTAGATATATAAGGAAATGTTGATAATTGTTACCAGTGGCCATCACCGACTTGTTATGCCTGATTCACTCGGTCCGATTCTGATTGCGATTTTCAGTATTGGCGTCGACATCTCGGCTACGGTTCAGGCCTTTGCAGCCCGAGCGACGTGAGGACTAAAAAGCCGAGCAAAACGTCACCATGGAAATCGGGCTTTAGCGTCCATTCTGCGACGTCCACGTGGAATGAATCGCCGCACGTTACATTCTTCACGCCGAGTTTTGTGGCGTAAGGAGCCTCGTTAATTTCGCTGATGCCGCTCAAGTAGTCAGACATTGCCAGGAAGACGTAGAATGAACAATTCCAACTCAAAAAAGAGCGTAGGACTCGCACAGACGCCGATAACATCCCATTCCAATGGTTTGTTTATGGGCGACGGAGAGCTTCTTGCCAACACTCCCATCGCCCATGCGCGGCACCGGTGACGTCCGCTAGGGGCGCTCCGGTTTGTTTGTAAACATGAGTTTGTGTATAGGCGATTCCCAAAAATTAAGTCATTTACAGTATCTGGCACATTTTTCTTTTATTAATAAGTAAATCAGCAAGGCAGGCCCTTCTGTCACACACTGGCATGTTAATTGTCGTGGTCACATAAGGTTTACATATAAAAAAAAAAAAAATTTAAGTAGCTATACTCCGCGACAACTTTTCTTGGCAATGCAGTGGAAGGTACAGGCCCGCGTCCCCTAGCCCATTTTGAGTTTACGCAGGCTCTCCTCCTCCCCCATTTCCGGGGAGAGGAGGAGAGCCTGCATACACTCAAAATGGGAGAGGGGACGCGGGCCTGTACTTTCCACTGCATTGCCAAGAAAAGTTGTCGCGGAGTATAGAGAGGTGTTTACCTGCACGCCTTCAGTGTTTCATTGCAGTGTGGACATGAGGCATCGTAACACAATACGGACTTCTCCCACGTATTTCCGGTGACAGCATTTTGACACCCACACTCGCGTTGTGAAATATTTAGATGTTCCTACCAAGCTTTTAAGCGGCTGAACATATGGGCCTTGCTATTTTTCAGCTGGAAAGCAAACGACGCAAGGCGGAGGCAGCCCTGACCAAGGCGGAGGCAGACTACTACGGGGCGTGCGTGGCGGCAGAGCATGCGCGGCAGGAATGGGAAACTCTGCTCTACCAGACCGGTGGATGGCTGCAGGCCCTGGAGGAAGAGCGCCTAGAGGCACTCGGAGCAGCGCTCAAGCGATACGCGCAGGAGATCGCCACCTTGGGTCCCCAGGCAACGCAGGTACCTGTGCGACCGCATTGTGTTAATGCCCAACTATGGGAATGACTTTCACAAGCTGGCACAAAAAGTCCCTGGTCGTAACACTTTATGTGGGAAGTGGCCTATATTTGCAATGTTTTTACCTTGCTCGCTAAAAACAACCCAAATATTTGTCTAAAAAATAGAGTTCTATGCATTCAATTATTTTTTACCATGAATGCGTTTCCCAGTTTTTTCTTTATTGAAACATTATGATTATTTGCAAAGTACAACTAATGAAACCTAACGGCGGAAACTACCAAAACTTCAATTAGAGCTTCTGCTGAGAATTTGGAGAGGAAATGGGATGGTACGCATCGTGGCACTCTTAAGTTAACAACCAATCGCCATTTTTTTTTTCTTTTAGAATCAAAAGCCTGTTATCCAAACTACTAGTGCGGAAAAAGTACTGATTTAGTGCCCGCCAAAACCCCTTTTGAAGTAAAATGCAGAAAGGTGCTAATGTCGTGTTTGTGCTCAGTATCGCGCAATGTACCTTTACCTATAAACCATTTTATTGTGGGGAGTGCCATTTTGAGAGCGAAAGAGAAGAGGGGAAAGAGCTACCAGCGCTTTCCCCCTTGCTGGTGTGTTTGAAAGAGTAAAAGTCCCGGATGAAAGGCTTCGCCGGTGTTCGGTATATGCATTGCCCTTCGCACTTTCTTGTTTGTTTTAAACTCCCAAAATTAGAGCCGCGGGCTCAGATGGCGACAGTCCCTCGGTCATCAAGACGCTATTGCTCGGTTATAGGGTGCATGAGTAATGAAAGAAAGCGTCGAATACTGTTTGCGGACCTATGTAGCTTGCACGGAATCTGGCAAGTGCGGCTGCAATGTCTTCAAGCTCCATCGCTTTCCACATGACCCCGATCTCCGGCGGCAGTGGGATGTGTCCGTAAACCGAAAAGGCCGTTCCCCAATGCCTTCCTCTCGACTGCGCTCTGAACATTTTGTCAGTGGAGCGTGCACCGAACGCTGTACCGCCGATGAACGTGGGGTTTGCGTGCACATGATTGCAAAAGTGTTTTTCTGCCGCCAACTTGTGCAGTGTGCCGAGCGTGTTCAAGAGCAAGCGGCGTGCGTGGATGTTGGGGAGGACATTCTCGAAGCCGTGCGCCTTCGAGGTACGGCACCCAACGTGCCTGAGCAGTTGTTGCCCGACTTCTATGTAAGTAAGAAGAGGGGTTTAGTTCAATTAAAACTTTGTGGCCCCTTGAAAAACAATGCGACGCGACCACGTAGTGTTTTCGGTTAACACTGACCGAGACTAATCCTGGTTAATGTGTTGGCCACAGAGAGCAGGGCCATGAGAGTGGAAAAACAGCCGATTTAAAATCTTCATACGTGAACTGGTTACATATGCCTTAAAGCTTCCAGTCAGCAATTGGTTAGAGGTCGTGCTTCTAATAACCGGGAAGTTTTTATAATTGGGGCCATTGATTTTATTTCAAACAACTGGAAATTATTCGGCGCATATTTCTTATTTATGTCGTTTTATATGTTATTCAGGTAAGCTGTGAATCATGTACAATTCACGAGTTTGCCAGAAGAATTGTGTGCTCGTGTTTGCGGGCATAACCTCCATCTTTGTGTTTTTGAAAAAGGTGCCTATTCTAACCACTGGTAGCTGGAACTGGTGTCCCTTTTGGGACTGTGGCAACATGCATAAGAAAACAACCTTGGCACCGGTGTATTAGAACGGACGTGATCTAGAACATTTCTTGCACATATCAGAGTTTATAACTAAAATAGTAGTTTACAGACAGAAACCATTATGCAAAGGAGAAATGTAAAAGTCAATAAGATGAAAAATGCATATTTCTAAGGGCACACATTTTCCATGCATGCATTCAAGAACTCGTAATAGATCTAAGATTGTTTCATGTAAATGTCCCACAAGGAAGGTTTAGTATCGGCTCTTCCTTTCAAAGGCGCTGCTTTTTGAAACGTCACCTCGTCCTTTCGTTTTTTTTCTTGCGACTACACTGAGAATGAATGCACGACCGAGGCGAGGGAGCATTGTGTGGTGCGCTTCGAAACATTTTGTCAACATGTGATTCGTGCAAACACATGCAGTCTGTTCAAAGCACGGGAAACGTGGTCAAACGTGAAAACAGCGCAAAAAATTGAACAAAGGACAAGTGAAAGGAGTGCACGGACAAAGCGCTGACTGTCAACTAAAGTTTAATTTTCAGGCAAACCAGAAAAATAAACACAGAGCATAGGAAAGAACCAATAAAGACACAAAAAATTTACAACCCAACGGACAAGATTTCTACCACGTCATCACCCTCACACATGCCTGCCATTCTCCCTGATAAAAAGGACCTCATCATCCCCCAAGTGCACCGACGGTGCGCTCACACATTGCCCTTCCCCTTTAGATAAAATGAAAAATGCCTCGTCAATCTCCCTGGCGGTCTTACTTTTATTGCGCGCCAAGATCGTCAAGTCATGAAAAACAGGTACGCAGCCGCACCTACTGCAATGTACCGCTAAGTTTTTCATGACTTGACGATCTTGGCGCGCAATAAAAGTAAGACCGCCAGGGAGATTGACGAGGCATTTTTCATTTTATCTAAAGGGGAAGGGCAATGTGTGAGCGCACCGTCGGTGCACTTGGGGGATGATGAGGTCCTTTTTATCAGGGAGAATGGCAGGCATGTGTGAGGGTGATGACGTGGTAGAAATCTTGTCCGTTGGGTTGTAAATTTTTTGTGTCTTTATTGGTTCTTTCCTATGCTCTGTGTTTATTTTTCTGGTTCGCCTGAAAATTAAACTTTAGTTGACAGTCAGCGCTTTGTCCGCGCACTCCTTTCACTTGTCCTTTGTTCAATATTTTGCGCTGTTTTCACGTTTGACGATGTTAAACCAACTAGCCCAACTTACCGCCTTGTTCAAAGCACGGGAGTTCAGCAACTGGTCAATTGGGCCAACACTCCTTGCTTTCTTCCACTGTGCTAGGTCCTACTATACTCTGTTCCACCTTACAATTGTTGAACTCGCCGGCACGGCTCGTGGCCACTCCAGCTAGTCCAACACTGCAAACATACTGTGCGACTACTACACAATTCGGGCATCACTGCACTCTTCCCAAAGGCCATTCAACATTCGCACGATGCTAGATTGCTTCAACGACGCCCGACGTCCACCTCGGTCCGTCGTAGGTGAAAGGGAGCATAATGCGGGCCCTCCTCTCGGTAAAGCGCAACTTGGGCAACGACTGCCCGAAAGGCGGAGCTCAACAAAGTGTCGTCTTAACCCTTTCCCACACTCAAAGGCACCAGTCACACGTCGGTTCTCGCTCGTGGTTCGTACGCGCTCTCTTCCTTCCGCACCCCTTTGCCGATTACTGTGCCATTCTCTCCCGTGCAAACCTCCGTCTCGTCGGCCGAGGTACACCCTGCACGTTGCTTGCAGGCGGAGGACCTGGCGAGCCCGATGAAGCCCCAGCGTCGGCGTGAGGCCCTGGAGCGCTTGCTGGAGCTGCTCCAGAAGGATCTGGACACGGAGCGGAGGGGCAAGCAGGGGGTCGAGTCCCTCGCTCAGGCCTTCCGGGAGGCGCCCCGCTTCGGAGACGAGGATGCGCAGCTGCGTGTCGAGGAGAAGCTCCAGCAGGTGCGCCCTATAGAGTTCTGTGTTATCGGTATATACCTATAGACCATTCCATTTAGCGCTCTCTGGGCGGCACCATTTTGTTTGACAGCAACGCCCTCTTCATACATCCGGGAAATTCAGGGGGATCGGTGGGGTAAAACGAGAGAGAGGGCATGTGCCCGACTCAGCTAGCAGACGACAAAACGGGAGGTTGCCATTCTCCATCTTTGGGCTGTATCGGCGGGCTGTACGGAACATCAAACTCTCACTCGTGGCTGCCGTTGTGAAGTGGTTTGTGTTCTTAGAATAGTTATGGCTACTCCAAAATCAGCCTAGAGCTCTCTGTTGTTTTACTTCGATAAATGATCAACTGACATATCTTTTCCGTTACTTAAATAGCAGTTGAGTCAGCCGGCAGTACTACCCTCAACTACTGCATGTATTGCGGCAGGAGAGCATGTTTTTATTTATTATTTAGACATCCACTCATGGTCGCTAAAGACCTACACCAGTACAAACTTTGTATAGTAAAAAAGGTACAGCCACCGGATTCACTTTTCGCCAAAGAGACCAGCCAGTCTGACACGGTTTTCCCAATTTTTTTTATTTGCGCGCAGATAACAGCGCAATTGGACTCTGTTAGTCTTTTTTATCTAGCATAGTAATACACTAACTGGCACACCAAAATCTGCGCATCTGCGCTTGAATATCCCAAAATGACGCGATTTTAAGGGGGGACATGGGTCTTTGGAGCCAAAAACTTCCTAAAACTGCATTCTTTTGAAAACAGTGATGGCTGTTGTTCTTCTGAATCTACCAAGCTTCTAATTTCGTGGATGAATATTCAAGCTATAAATCAATTTATAATGTCTATGCGAGCTGAATGTGCATTAAAGTTGACTCTAAAACATTGTTTTCACATAACACAATTTTTGGACTCGTTGAAAATTTGCAGGAGGGATATCTCGGCATCCACAGCAGTCAGAAATATAACCTTTCTTGAAATGTGCTGCTAAATGCGTGAAGCATACAATGTTGAGAGCAGATTTTTTAATATAAGTCTAGAAAAATTTTTATTTCATCTTTTGTTTTATTACTTGTTAGCCATGCATTGAGCACTGAACTTCAATATGTTGTAAAATCACTAATAATGGGTTTATCTTAAAAGTACTTCCAACATTGTATTCTTTGCACTTCATAGTATCTGGTCATGTGTTAAAAAGGATATTTTGTTGAGCAGTTTTTTCCCTATCATTCCTCCAAACAAAGGCAGGCAAGTTTTAATTATCTTCAGGACAATTCTACTGAATGAAGAAATTACCAGATATATGAAATCAGCACAAAAAGCTGAACAAGCTTGCGCAGTTTCATTGAGTTTGGTCATAAAATAAGAAAAAAAGCTCCAAGACCAGTGTTCCCCCTTAAACAGAGCTTAAAATCACGTCATCTTCGTTCTTTTTTTTTTGTATGTCGAGCGAGCCTGTTGCAACTGAATTTGACATGTTTCACCGACACAATTGTTATACAGTCAAGCGCCTGTATAACGAAGCGTGTGGGACCGCAATCATTTTTCTTTATACACGTCACTTTCTTATATCCGTCGCGCACTTTAATGACCTTAATAAAGCAAATAAGCAACGAACTAGCCCGTTGTACAGGCTATTTCGTAGTAGAAGCGTTCGTTGTAGCGGTGTTTGACTGTATTTGTTCGTTACAAATGTGGCTGCTGCTGTATAAACATGCTTCGTGTAGCCAAAGTTTGTTTTGCATGTACTCGTTTTTCGATGGTTAAAGAATGTTTTAGTGCGAATTGCTACCCTATTATTGTCCCATAATTATTTGGGCTGATTCTTCGGTGCATTTCCCACGAGAGGTTATACACGACTTTAAAAAAGATGACATGCTGGAATCGGTACACGCCAGTATTAACCGTTTCAAGATCATTATCAGCCTCAATATTGCCTTTCTCATGAAGTTCAAGAAATAAAAGCAAGTATGGCGATTCAGTTTTGTTGATGCTTGTCGAGTTCTGCACAAGAAAAGACTTTATGCAGAAAGGAAACATGGACGAAGCATGCGACGGGCGTTCCACACTTTTTTGCTCCCCAACACTCGCTCGATGATCTCTCTTTGTACGTAGTAGTAATTCACGTTCTTGCCTCGCGACAAGTGTCTGTTAACCGGCAAGTCTGTCGCAACGTAAGAAATGTAGAAGCTCCTCCCAAAAAACCCGTCCCCTCATTCCACTTTTGGAAGAGAGAATGCTGAAATGGAGGAAACCACCAATCGCAGCGAGCGGAGGTTTTTGTGGGAGGAGCTTACTCTTTACGTCGCAACAGACAGACTAGTTTCCAAGCGTGCATCACAATTAGTAGCACGCTAAAAAGCGTCAGTTCTACGATCCGGTGTTCCACCACGATCCACCTTCCTGTGCGCAGCTCCGCCAGAGCCTGGCGTTTCTGGAGGCGAGTCGGCACAAGGTGCAGTGCGTGCTGGCGGGCCTGGAGGGACGTCCCAGGCCCCCCCACCCCCTGGCTACGCACCTGGAGCAACGTAGAGACAGGCAGGTGAGGGTGCTCCGCCAGAACACTTCAACGCTGGCAACATACCCAGGAGGTGACGAGTGGCATATTGTAGGATGTATGACAAGGCCATGACTAAGGCGTCCGTAACATGTCTCCAACCAGTGCGCTAACTGCGCCCTCAAATGTGGTACCTCGATTTTCGCCCGACGACGCTTTGGCAGCTGAGAGTCGAAATGCTGGGACGACAGCGACGCTCGTGTTTGCTCGCCTTTTTCGCCGGCATTTCTATAACCGACCAACGGAAATACGACGTGCGACGGCGTGACGCGTCGTTCGCTACCACTCAGGAATCTCCTTCAATCCGTGGGCGCGGTACGAGACGCCAAACGCACCGGCTAAAGATGCGTTCCAGGCACCGTACCGAAACACTCAGATACGGCCACGTGCTGCAGTCCACGCGTCCCAGGTGCTGCACGCACGGGAGACGACGAGGAGAGCGGCGCGTTCCGTGTATGACGTACCCTCGATAAAAGGAATGCAATTGCACAAAAGGATTGTTGTAGAGCATTGTGTGCCACATACAACGATCTCAGTCACCGTCAACGATTATGCACTCTCTATCTGAAGTGCAGCGTACAGCACCAGCTAGGAACAACACCCAACTCTGGCGCTAATGAGAAGGTAGTCTGGAAGCGAACTGCCGCCAGTCGGTCAACCGTTCCTCGTCAGGGCTACGCTCTTCGTTTGAGTCGGTTCTCGTTGACTAGGTCGGAAGCTTTAAAGAATTTCCCCCTTTCCCGCAATGTTGTGACAAAGCTAGCGACAATGCAGAATTTATAGCATGTTGCTTCGCGGCAATGTTGCACGGAGAAACTCTGTGTGCATTTTATGCTTTGACACCCTACACTCGGGCAGAGACAGCGAGCATTTGGCAATGCGTCATTTACTTTTGCAGCGAGAAAAAACAAGCAGTCCAGTACAGTTGCAGCGATAGCTGTGACACGTCATGGCAAAGTCATTGGCTCAATTGGCTTCATTCTCACGAGCATGCATCTTATAATTCTCCCTGCAACGAACGACGTGACGCGGCGGCATCGCCGCCACCTTGTCTTTCAGGGTCTTGCAACAAGCGCTACGCTAGTACGCGGCGATGCCAAGACACCTGCGTCTGCCGCTTTGCGCCGTACTCTCGTCGAGTTTCAGGCCGTGTAACCGAGCTTTCGGTTGCACGTCAAAAGATCCCCAGGTGGTTCAAATTAATCCTCAGTCCTCCGCTGGGGTGTGCCAGATGCCCGTCGTTGGTTTGGCACGTAAAACCCCCAAATTTGACTCTCGTCGAGTTTAAAGGGACAATGAAGGCAATTTCGGACATTTTATTAGCGATTGAACTGGGTTCCAGGCACATCACGGGCCACGTTGCCCAAATTTCAGCCGAAACCGGCGCTTGTGTGCCGCACAAATCAATTAAGCAGTCGCGGTAATAATCGTACCGGGATCAACTGCTGCGACGCCCCGAGAGTTGCGGGAGAAGCCAGGAGAAGCGGAGCTCATGTGACCGATGCGGGGCCAAGATGCGCGACGTCACAAGAGACGTGTCAGCGATTGGTCGAAACGAGAGACGTGTCCTCGGTCACGTTTTGGTTCGCGATTTTTAGAAATACTGTTCAAATTTCCGCTTGAATAACCATGAAAAGTATAAATCGGACCGTAAATAATTGCTAAACCGTAAATAAAGCAGCATAATTGTTTTTTTCTTTTCTACGCTGGACGCGAAACTGCCAACGAGCAACTATGGGCACTTCGGCATGCGAGCCGCTCGTTACCGGCTGGGCGGTCTCCCTTGGGTGATGGCGGAGGCCGCCGCACACATACTCCCATTCTGTTTGTGTTGGGTCACTGAACAGAAGCTCGAACTCGCTCGCGAGAGCAGCATTGCCATCCATGTTGACAGATTCGACGAAACGACCGCGCCACCGCGCTGCTATAACCCACCGCAGTAACCGGAGTCTCGATCTCCTAATTATACTACCGATACCGACTATTCACACTTGACGTCACTCCCTACGTCACCTCCGTTTTCGGAGGCCCAGAAATGAAAATGGAAATCGTTTAGTTTCGGTTTCTTTACTTCTTTCGTAGGCACAGAAATACATGTCACAAAGGTCTACAAAAAATAGGGCAGCATGCTATGTTCCCAAGAAGCATAGAAACGCCATTTAAAAGATTTAAATAAAATCGTCTTCATTGTCCCTTTAAGCGCGTTCGCCGCTTGGGGACGCTCGGGGACCCACTAATAAAGACGTTATGCGCAGGACCTTCTTCTTAGTGGTATTGGATGGATGGATACGGCTGAACTTCTTTAATCGGGCGGCGGCTCGCGTCACCTAGTTGAAGCTTTTAATTTTAGCAATTAACTCCAACTTGATTTGGAATTGAATAAGAATGAGAGAGTTTTCTACCGCAGCGTCGCAGCAACTGTGGCCATCTCGCGGGCACTAATCGAGACTCATAGTCACATTTGGTCCACCAAAACTGTACAATAAAGCAGATTGCCAATGCGTAGCTCTGTGATAGCACGCCCACTCCGCATGCAGTGGACCCAGGTTCGATTACCGAGAGCGTTGAGAGACAGTGGGGAATATCTCGACGAATGCCCTATGCCTAGGGTGACCGTATTCCTCGAGCTAGAAAACGGGACATCTCAGCGGGAAAGGGGGGGGGGGGGGGGGGGGGGGGGGGGCGGCAAGTGCATTTCTTTGCCATTTCCGAAAAATAGTGTAATGCTGCCAACCGAAATTCTACATGCATGCTATATCCAGTAACTCAAAAAACATATTTCTACACACGCATCTTTGCGAGAGAGAAAAAGTGTTTGTGGACAAGAACAGTTCTAAATTTTACCCTCTGGGTAAATATTTTAAAGTACCTACAATCATTTTTGTAAAATATACTTGTAATAAGTAAGCATAGTTTTGTTTTGCTTCAACTCGCTTGGTGGCAATTTCGAAACTATGGACTCCTGCGAAAACGGGACGTGGTTCTTGATTGGAACAAAAAGGCGAGACGGCAGAAGCGGACCTCATAAATGGGACTGTCCCGGCAAAAGCGGGACGTCCGGTCACCCTACCTAGGCCCTATTATGCCAACTACAACATCAACATCAGCAACTACCGTATTTTCCGGGTTATAGTCCGTACCCGGTGTATAGTCCGCAGGGGCCCACTTAGGCCGAAAAAAGGTTTTTGCTCAGACAGTCCCCACCTGGTGTTCAGTCGACAGGGAAATCTTCTCATGCACGGCACATAGATCGTCACTAACATACATTTCTAGTTAAAGTCCGACGACCAGATTCGAGATTCTGCAAGGTAGAACATCCTCCTCACCATGGGGGAGGAGGAAACGGGCAACGGCGGGCAGGGTAGAAGAGGGAGGGAAAAGTAGAAAGTGCGAACTGGTCGCGAGTCTTTAACACAGACCGTTACGTCTCGTCACAATGAACTATCTTGAAAAACAAAATTCCTGTATAGTCCGCACGCATAGATAGTCTGCACAGCCAGAAATCTCAACTTTTAAACATAAATTGTCTGCGGACTATAGCCCGGAAAATAGGGTACGTCAGTGACAACAGATGTCAATTCCATTGGTGGGATGAGCCCACAACAGCTTTCGCTGTGAAATGGAATTTTCTTTTCCCACAGACCCGGTATAATCTGAAGCAAAATTACCTAACTTCTAGCGTTTAAGTCCACTTTTTTTTTTTCTCAAAATTTTCGCTGATGCTGTTTACACACCACTGCGATTTATATGCATTTTTTAATAACATTTATTGTTAAGAATATTGAAACTCCCACTTGCGCATATGTAACGCAGTCACGGTAGACATCAGTATGTGACCCTATCCGTAGAGTTCCGCCGCACCAACCTCAAAAATGAAGGGCGACTTACGCGAAGGTCTGACTTACACTCTTTTTCAAGAAACCAATGTTAAAGGTCAACAATGCAACTTATGAACAAGAGAGGGTGGTATGCACATTTTTCTTCTTACCTCTCTCCCAGGGCCTGTCCCAGACGGTGCTCAAGGTCCCCCCGTGGCTCCAGAGGAGGCCCTCCAGCTGCTCGTGTGCGGGCAGCGAGGAGGAAGTCAGGGACGCCTGGGACCGTGGCTCGGCCGACGGGCACGCGGCCCCCACAGACCCTCCCAGTGAGGCCTCCTCGGTTCAGGGGGACAATGTGAGCACGGAGGGGCTGTACGCCAACAGCCTGCCCTCCCGTTGCCAAGCCCTGTACGACTACCGGGCCAGCATGGAGGACGAGCTCAGCCTGCGCTCAGGTAGCAGTCGTCGGAATATCTATGAGGAGAGCAAGTCGTCTGCTTCATGCGCAGGAGTCGCGATGATGTCAGCGACGCCAAGCTCAAATTTGCTTTGATTGAAAGGATAGTGGGTAGACCTCAATGCTACACACTACACACTACTTTTTTCTTCAACCAGCCAATAAGACCTTGGCATTTTGACATCATTGCAACCCCTGTGCATGAAGCAGACAAACTTGCACTCCGCATAAATCAGGAGTCCTCGGACTTCTCGGGGAACTTTTCTGCGACTCGACTGAAACCCGACAAACCCCTCCTGTGATAAAACGGGGCAAAAGACCACAGACCTTGTAAACAATAATGCACATACTAGGGAGTGTTTGGCTCATAGTTATGCATCAATAGATGGCTTAGATTTACTAACAGTGTGCTTAACCTAGAAAAAAGCTTTACTTGGCGATGGTTGAAGAAATTTGGGAGCTCGAGAACCCTTAAGTGTACTCTGTGTACTCGTGCACACAACCCACGCTGTAGACAGTTGTGTTGAGTGCATGTTAATTAAGACAGCACGAAAGTTAGTCAGCCCCGATGGGCGCCTGGTGTTTCCACTGTAAATGAAAAATTTAGCCAGTGCACGACCGCTACTACCTGGAGTCTTTAACACAATTATGCGGTAGTGATGCATAACTACACGCCGGTACAATGCTCACTGCTGACCCTTTGCATGTTTACGAACACAAGCAATCTTTTACCTCCCATGCGATTTCTAGTCGCTCTGTATTGGCGGGCCTTCCAAGCTTATTATGCCACATTGGCTGGTATGCTTGAGTGCCAAGAGAAATGACAGTGTTGGAGATTTAGCAAGGTCTCTATGCTGGGCTATTCGGCATATACTCGGTAATTGCTAGTCTTGCAAGAGTATTAAAAAAGTGAAAGCCGTTTACAACTCCCTGCAACAACGAGTTAGAGCGCAGCTCTTGAGGAGGAGGAGGGAAGGGTACTGGGGGGTGAAGTGACCTGGGGGGGGTCACGTGACCATGCCGATGATGTCATCAGTGACGTCACTGATGACGTCATCAGTGACGATGACGATGCGGACTCTGATGACGTCATCAGCGATGATGACGATGCGGATGTCGGTGACGTCACTGATGACGTCATCTGTGATGATGACGATGCGGATGCCCCCCCCCCCCCCGAAGTCACGTGACACCCCCAGGTCACGTGACCCCCGCCGAGGTCACGTGACCTCCCCGATGACGTCATCGTCACCAGCATCCGCATCGTCATCATCACTGATGACCTCACCGGCATCCGCATCGTCATCATCACTGATGACGTCATCAGTGATGTCACTGATGACGTCATCCGTGATGATGACGATGCGGATGCCCCCCCGAAGTCACGTGACACCCCCAGGTCACGTGACCCCCGCCGAGGTCACTTGACCTCCCCGATGACGTCATCGTCACTGATGCCGTCATCGGCGTCACTGATGACGTCATCAGTGACGTCACTGATGACCTCACCGGCATCCGCATCGTCATTATCACTGATGAAGTCATCAGTGACGTCACCGGCATCCGCATCGTCATCATCACTGATGACGTCATCAGTGGCGTCACTGATGATGTCATCAGTGATGATGACGATACGGATGCCGGTGACGTCATCGGGGAGGTCACGTGACCCTGGGGGTGGTCACGTGACCTGGGGGTGTCACGTGATTTCGGGGTGTCACGTGACTTCGGGGGGGGGGGGGGGGGGGGGTCACGTGACTTTGGGTGTCACGTAACCTTGGGATGACCTTGGTTACGCCGACGCCACTCAAGCCGGGAACGGGCCCCTAAAGGCTGCGCTCTAAAAATCTCCAACAAATCCCTCACTATCCGTTCCTTTAGGTAAGCATTGGGAAAAATGGTGATGTAATATGTCGTGGACGTTGTAAAAAGTGGCGCGATGGTGGGGATTATTTGTCCTCCCTTCTGCCCGGAAGTTTGCGGGAATGCAAAGTGAAACGGCGCCTCCTTGCGGCATTTTTATTAAAAATTGACGTTGGCAATTGAAAAATGACCTGTACATATTTATTTATTAATTTTTTTATTTCGGGTTACCCCGCAGTGCCCGAAGGCATTATCAGGGGGGGGGGGGGGGGGGAGGGGAGGTACATAGTTGTGAAGGTAGAAATACACTCGTGCATATGTACCAAGAAAAAAAAGAAAAACGCAAGCACGCAGGAAAACACTCCAACAAAAGCAAGCCCAGAATATGATAAAAGAAACATTGGTTACTCGCATTCTAGGTACGAGCCAGATAAAAACATCAGCTGAGGAAAATATGCGCTAACAGCAAAAATAAATAACTCTCGCTTGCCGCGTGACACAGGAGTAAAAAAAACACAGATGTAGTTTTATCAACTACATTCAAAGAGTAATAAAATAATTAAAGTAGGAACAACTAAACATACAGCAGTATCACTCTAAATTCGCATAGCAAGGATCAAAACATTTTCCTAGCCATGTTAGTCTGGCCAGCTGTCATGTGACAGTCTGTCAAAGAGAAGTGAATTTGACAAGATAGAAACGGTGTCATTTGGCAGGGCATTCCACTCTTTAATAGTGTTTAGAAAAAATGAATATTTCAGAACGTTGGTTCGGGCTGTCGATTCCCTAATTTTTTCTGAGTGTCTAATCTCCTAGATACGAAGTTGAGGGGATGAATAAACTTTGCTGACTTTGTTATATTAATCCCGGTTTGATCATGGTAATTTGCGTGAAGAAACAAGCGAAGACGTCTTCTTTTGGAGGAAAGCGGCTCCCACTGTAATTGCCTTTTAAGAGCGGTAGCACTTTCTCCATAATAGGAGCTTCTTGCAACAAATCTCACAGCCCTGCTCTGTACTTGCTCTATTTTTTCTCCCCAAGTAACTCTCTTTTGGGTCCCACAGGACACTGGCGTACTTTAGTACCGGCCTAACGTTAGTCTTAAAAGGAGTTGCTTTCGCAGTTTGGGGACAGTCCCTGAAATTACGTTTCAAAAAGTTTCACATGCCGTGAAGGAGTCGATGTGTGCGCTCCATGACAAATTATGAGAAAATTTAACACCTAGATACTTTACTACTTCCTCATTCTTTAGTTTGACGCCGCTGATCAAGTACGCAAAAGATACTGGCTGGCGCTTCCTAGTGAAAGTCATCTGGGAGCATTTATGGGTACTAAGCTTCATTCCCCACTTTTCGCACCACCGTGAAATTCTATTAATGTCCTCTTGCAAGGCCAGGCAGTCCGATTCAGTCCTAATGCCACTGTATATGACGGTCATCTGCATAGAGGCGAATGCTTTATCCAGTTCCAACAGAAATATCATATCAATTACAATAAATGCCCATAATTAATGATGCAACGGCGACAAAGGCCACACTGTCGACAGCCGGAAAATGACGGGGCAGTGACCAATTGCGACGTCGTGGCTAATGGTGTACTCGAGCTTAAAAAGTATCGGCCGCAAAGGGACGTTGCACTGCATGCCACTAATGGGCAGAGCTGTAGAAGTTAATAATAAGCAATCAACTTGCATCGGGTTGAAATATAACGACGTTACAAATACAGTCACATTAGTACAAAGGTATGTTAGTTACAAGAATGTAACGAAATTACTTTTAAGATATGCCACAGTGTCGGGGCAGGCTGCGATTGCCTACACGGAAAAGTGCTGGGTGGAGTTCCGTCTTCTACTCAAGGAAGGGTCCGAAACAATGTTGACACACAACATTGACTACTAAATCGCCGCGGGTTTGTGCAGTTTGCCGACAGAGGTCCAATAACGTAACAAATTACGGGCACTAAGCATTCGCTGCAACTTCGGTGATATTCAGCCCCTCGAAATGTCACTAATTACGGCAACTTCAAAAAGTTTTATTTAGTCCCCTTTACAGCTCTTTCTGTAAGCGGTGAGTGTAGCAGTGTCGACAAATGTCACAAGGCCAAAGCGTATGGCCAGTTCGTTGTGCTGGCTCCTTGAGCATGGTGTGCTCCGGTTGCCGGCTGGATGAGAACGACGGGGCGTCTAGCACACGTGTTCAACAAAGTGCGTCTTGGACCCTGCAGGTGACGTGGTGACGGTGCACGGCCGAGCGGAGGAGGGCTGGTGGCACGGGGAACTCAACGGCAGCTATGGGCTTTTCCCCGCGAGCTACGTCCAGGAGCTCGAACCTGGTCTCCCACCCGGCTAGCCCCGGTTGCGGAGAGGAGGGGGGCCCCGGGGCTAGCCAGCAGAGGTCTCTTTAGTATAGTCACCGCCAACAAATAAAAACAATATTTTCTCATTTTGTAGTGGGCTGTCTTGCATCAGTTTTTTTTTTAACTAGACCAGAAAACTTTATAGCTACGACAGCGTGCAACAATTGTGAACGGTGAAAACTCGCCAAATAAGTCTAAGCGCATGCATGGAAACTTTGGCACACTTCTGCAGTGCAAAAGATATTAGAATGATAAGACCAGGGCTGGCACAATGTACGTAAGAATGCAAAGGAATTTGAACATGATTAAAAGATGAAGCCGGAGACTCAGAATGGCGATATTGGCAATGACGATGTCCAGCTGGGGCGAGAGAACCCCGGGTTGATGCAGTCTCTCATTCTTTCTGGCGTATTTGAAGTGCGTCGTGGAGCCATTTTTTTAGGCGCACATTTTCTCGCGGAAGGAACCTTGCCTTTGAAAAGAATGCGGTCAGCCACGGGCCAGTCAGAAGACTTCCGCGGCCCAGACCTGGCCTGCATGCCAGTGTTTGGAGACCCCCGATCTAGACTATGACTGAGGTCTAGATCTGGACATCTCGGCATCGTAAATTATTGTCGACGTCAACGACGGGTGAATTAGAGCTTGGCAATTAAGTTTGCTTTCGTTGAATGATGACCATAGTGCTAGAGCCGCAAATGCTGCGAGATCTGCATCCTCTATGCCGAGGTGGGGTTGAGGATGGCCTTGAACCTGGCCCGCATTTCACGGAAGAACTTGCTCAAGTCGTCCGCTCGATTCAGCTCCAGAACTAGTCGCTCCAGGTCTGTCACCGCGGGGTTGCAGTCCGAGACTGCAAGCAAACAAGAGGGAACCAGTTGGGCGATGTCACGGTGACCCCAGCGCGTCTCCGACCGGTGCATGGAGGTAGGAAGCTTCTGGAGGCGACACGACGCCACCATGGGTGAAGCCAGAAGTGGGGAGGGACACGCACCTCATGATGACCAAAACCAAGAGTTGGTATTGGATGAAAAGGAGAGCTGACTTGGTGCCAACAGCTATTTCCCTCGGAAGCCAAAAGTGTGGAAGCCACTTCGCCTCCAGAAGCTTCTTACCTCCATGCATGGGCAGGATAGGACGGTAAACGAGCCAGTCGAAGCCGTGGCCCGGGAATTGTGGATATGTGCATTCTGTAATGCTCGGGAGCATACCCTGGTAGCGCCCGTCGCTGGCGACGTTTAACAGGAAACTGCACTTCCTCTCTGGCTGACAGGGGTCCAAGAGCGACAGGAAGGCCCGGTACGGCCATCCCTTTGACTTGTCTTTCGTCGGCTCGGGTATCAGCTCGAGCCCCATCCAGGTGGCAAAGAGGTTCACCGTTTCCTGGTGTTGCTTGGGGCGCTCCGCCAGCGGTGTCCCCAACTGGACCACTGGCGATTCCAGAAAAAAACATATTGTGGGGTTTGAGAGCCTCCGAAGTGGAAATGCAACGTCCAACATTCTGCGATCCGGCATTTCTGGAAGCTTTAAGGGGTGTGCCGGCAGCTTTGTAGCCACACAAAGAAAAGACACCCTCAAAATACCCAGAAGGTTATCCCACAACTAACGTTGGAGCCTATGCCCAAAAGCAAACGAGACGACGCGCAAAGACAGCATTGGCACGAAGAAGCGTCAAACGAATGTGTAGAATGCACCAAACAAGTAGTCTACGATACACCAACGACAAGTTGGCGATGGTAAATAGGGCAGATGGTCAGATACATTAATGAAAGGGAGCGAGAGCATGCACTTCCTGTAAAGCAGTTTCCTCTGGGGAATTGTACTGTATACTGTGATAGGTGCTGAACAAAAAAAGCCGTTAAGTTTTTTAGGCATACAAAATTGGGGTAAAGGGGGATGACGGCTGCATCACACTGTCCTATAAGTCCAAGGTCTCAAATTTACTCAAGTGTGAGATCCTAATAGCCCACCCCCCAAAAGGTCGAAATTTTTCGACCTTTTGGGGGGTAAGCTTTCGACCTTTTAGAAAGCAAAAAAAATTGATATTTTTAGACAAACAAAAGCACCAAAAAAAAAAAAAAAGAAAGACATTTAAAACACCCTGTAACGCCAAATTAGAGTGCAGCTCTCGAGGAGGAGGGAAGGGTACTGAGGGGAGGGTATACCCACCTCCTCATCCTCCCTGCTGGGTCATTCCATACCAAAGGAGACGGCAATTTTCGTCATATTTTGGATATGCTTGAAAAAAATAATATGAATAAAGACACGTTTGAAAGTAAGGGTGGTTAAATTTGAGGGCTGAATTACGTTTATTTTTGCTGACGTCATGCTCCAAAGTGCGGGGAATCGGAGAAAATCTTCTGTATTTCGAAAAATTGCTGAAAAAAAAAAGCTACTTTTACCACATAATTTTAAGTTAACATGCAATCAATCACTAATATATTCTATCTTACCTTGAAAGTAAAACACCCTTTGCCGCCATTTTGGGTCCAGACAGGCACTCCAAACCGAAGGAAATTTTTAAGATTTCTTGATTTTGTTTGGTCAACTTGAAATTAAAGTTTGACTAAGAAACTTATTTTTCTGAACCTAATGCTCGACTAGGTTGCATTACAATTATAAAAATATTATTCGGACAGTTTTTAAATAAATGGTGAATATGTCACTTTCTTTAAAAACAGCCATATAGAGGGTAAGAAAAAGCCATGTGGGCAACGGTGCTCGCATTTTCTGAAATAGCCGAAAGGTTAACCAACCCCCTCTGTTCAACATATCAAAAAATTAGAAAAGTACTTTTTGACATTTTGGAGCAATTATTTTTTAAATGTGAGGCAGAACAACATCGCCTCCAGGTGTCCACCTCGTCGGCAATGCACGCCGTCGTCTGGTACGGTCGAGCGAAACACTGCACGGGGAACTTAATTTCGTTAATTATATTTGTATAGCTAACGCTAAGAATCTTGACATTATGACATGTCTATTTATAGTGACTAGAAAGGGAACAATTTTTTTTTGCTCTAAACAATATGTTTGAGTGCGCTTGCAAGTTGAATAGCGACAACTCGAAATATTGTTTGGGATACTTTTTATCAAAGCCGAAACAAAGCACATTTGTAGTTCACCAACATTTCTTTTTTTCTTGTACATGAATGTAATATATAGTCCAGAAATACTATATACAGATGTCACTCAGATAAGATATCAATATACCAAAAAGGGCAAGCGAATACTCATATTTAGGGGTTTTCGATAGGAGCACAACACATAACTTTTTTTCATATAGGGGAGACATATATTTTACAAGTGGTAAACACGCAACATGCTTCTGTTGTGTTATAACCTTCACATGGCCGTTGGCCCAAATATCCACTCTTAATGTTCTGCTTCTTTTAATGTTTCACTCTCTGTTTTTCAGTTGCACTATGTATTTGCACCCCAATGGCTTTTCGTTGAAGAGGAAGAATATCACCGTTATCGCTCGGCACCGTTGGCGAACTCCTGCGTCCACTATTTCATTTTTTACAAGGAAATGCAGTATGACTAAAAAGTGAAGATGTGCCGTCTGCTAACCAATTCTGGCGATCCGTCTGCATGCACAAACTCGGTTAGCAGACGACGGCTTTGTCTCCCGTCACCTGAGCACATGTAAAGTGGAATTAAAGCCTTCAAATTAGTGTGCCAAAAGAATATTATTACGTGGTAGCTAAAATGACACCCACGTCCATCGTGCAGGAAGAGTTTTCCATGGGAATTTGAGCCATCGCAGCAGATGGATCACACCGGTGACGTTCCAGACATGCGCAGCGCTCTAGCCTATGACATGAACTAAAAGCTAATGAAACACTGATATTCTAAATGTGATATAGTATTTCTTGACTATATTATCTATTTATCTACATAAGAAGAAACAAAAACGTCGGTGAGCTGCAAATGTGCTTTGTTTTGGCTTTGATAAAAAGTATCCCGAACAATATTTCGAGTTGTCGCTATCCAACTGGCAAGCACACCCGGACATATAGTCTAGAGCAAAAAAAAATATGCACTCTCTAGTCACTATAAATAGACATGTCATAATGTCAAGATCCTCAGCTTTAGCTATACAAATATAATTAACGAAATTAAGTACCCCATGCAGTGTTTCACTCGACCGTAGCAGACGACGGCCTGCGTTGCCGACAAGGAAGGCGCCTGGAACTGATGCCGTTCTACCTCATATTTAAAAAATAATTTCTCCAAAATAACAAAAAGTACTTTTCCAATTTTTTTATATGTCGAACAGATGGGGTCGGTTAAACTTTCGGCTATTTCAGAAAATGCGAGCACCGTTGCACACATGGCTTTTTTTTTACCCTCTATAGGGCCGTTTTTAAAGAAAGTGTCATATTCACCATTTAAATAAAACTGTCCGAATAATTTTTTACCATTGTAATGCAACCTATTTGAGTATAAGGTTTATAAAAATAAGTAAAAAGAGTTTCTTAATCAAATTTTAATTTCAAGTTGACTAAAAAAAATCAAGAAATCTTAAAAATTTGCTTCGGTTTGGAGTGCCTGTCTGGACACAAAATGGCGGCGTAAAGTGTTTTCCTTTCAAGGTAAGATAAAATATATTTATGCTCGATTGCATGCAAACATAAAGTTATGTTGTAAAAATAGCTTTTTTTTTTCAGCAATTTCTTTAAATACAGGAGGTTTTCTCAAATTCCCTGCATTTTGGAGCATGACGTAAGCAAAAATAAACATAATTCAGCCCTCAAACTTAGCCATCCTTACTTTCAAATGTGTCTTTATTTATATTTTTTTTTCAAGCATATCCAAAATATGACGAAAACTGCCGTCTCCTTTGACATGGAATGACCCTGGTACTCCTCCTTCCCTCCTCGTCCCTTCTGCCCCTCCCGCCCCTTCTCCACCCCTCCCCCTCCTTCTTCCTCCTCCTCCTCCTCCTCGCACGTTGCATCATGGGAGATGTCCCATAATGCACCGCACGGGACCCTCGTGACGTCACACATGACGTCATAGGTGACTTCACGAAGGTCTTGCGCGGTGCATTATGGGACATTTCCCATAATGCACCGCATATTTACGCTGACGGCGACGCCACTCAAGCCGGAAACAGGCGCCTAAGAGCTCCGCTCTAAAAAATAAAATACAGCAATGGTGTTTTACCTTCCAGAGCAACAGTCTGTCTCAGAGACACCCCAGAGATGTTCAAGAGAAGGTACCTTGTGTTCTCTGCTTTTTGTAAGCTCACAGTTTTGCCAACTTTAGCTTTTATTTGCATATACAACTAATTCTGGCCTTCACCTGGCGTTACAACAAGATTTAAAATGCCAATGTACAGGTAGTTTTCACTAGAACAAGAGCAAGCACACAATCCTAGCCCTGTCGCATGATTCACTAGGCTCAACAGGCATGAAAAAAAAATCTCTCTTCATAAGGCAGTTTCTCATTTCTTGATGATTTTTACAGCAGCATTATAAGAAATTACTTGCATTTTAAAGGAATTTTTGACAGCTAGAAGCCTCAGCTCAGAGCTTTATCTTTGTCACTTGCTCCTGCTGGGCGAGAGTTTGTGTAAACGAGGTGCCTCCTTGAGCAAAGAGCTTGCGCTTGTATCCTTGTAGTGGTATCGCCGTTCCGGTTGATTTACGTGAAAAAGAGGAGCAAAATATTTAGACAATGCAATACTCAGTCCAAAACAATACTAGCGCAAAATGTGTGAACACGTTACATGAGAAGAGTTCTTTTCCCAGTAGAAGTGAGTCAACGATACCAAACTATAATTTATGGTGCTTGTGGCACTTAAGGCATGGGAACAAGGGCTTGAAGCCATGGGCCACGTGTTTTAGACGCCTGCAATAAGGAGTTTGGATTCATTTCTAGTGAAGTTTGATCAAGTGTGTCTGTGTGTTTGTGTTTCTCCAAATAAAATTCAGTTATCAGTAGCTCTCCGCATGTCTACTCCTTGTCCTTGTTTTTTTGGCACATAGCAACATTCAACTTTTCCCGCATTTTTATAGTGGGGTGATGTCGCACGCTGTGTAACTTTCAAGTCTTAACAGGCAAGCTAAAAAAAAAAAAATTTTGCATTCTTTTTTGTTTGTTTTGGTTGCGCGAGATTCCCTAGCGTTCATTTCACACCATCATACTCGTTGTAACTAGGGATGCCGCGAACTTTTTTCGATCCGAACGTTCGATGATCGAATCAAGCAATTTGAAAGGTTCGAAAGATTTTGAATTTTCAACTTTCCATATCGAGAAATTCGACAGGAGTCGAATTTTCGAACTTGTTAAACTAAGAAGTTTGACGCTTCTTGAAATTTCGAACTTATTACGCTGCAAAATTCGATGCTTGTCGAGCTTTCGAAGTTGATAGACTAAAAAATTCGATGATATTCGAATTTTTGAATTTCTTGCATTAAAAAGT